GTGTGTGTGTGTGTGTGTGCGTGAGAGTGTGTGTCTCGCTGTGCTTTGTCCTGAAAGAGACGATAAACCCTAAACAGCAGAAGTATGACGGAAGTCTTGAGAAAGGCAAAAATAACAGCATGCGTGTATTCGTACGTTAAGCGTTTCAGCTCACGTTTCGGCGTTTTCACACGCTGCTGAATTACTGCACACTGACTCCCGGTGATCCTAGATTCAAGGTGTGTCAAAATGCAGTTGACCCTTCCACGTCGTGGCGGCCATGGACGCAGGCGATCTGGAAAAACCTCGTATATTTTTTTGATCCCCTTGGCCAGTGAAGCGAAAAGATTCAAGAAACATCAGATACAAAGATCACTGCAAGGTCATTGCGAGATCTGTAAACTGCATGGCATCCTCCAAACCACCACTGTGTGTATATTCTATGCATTTATGTTCGTGGTCTGTGGCTTTAGCTAAACACCCAAAAAACCCCAGAAAATTCCCATTTCATTTCTCATACCAAATCCCACGATATATTGATTCCTTGATGGGGAAAGTTATGATGCGGGACAGTCGACTGTGTGCCAGTCTGACTGGAGGATGTGCTGCTGGACACTAATCAGTTTTGCCTTTTTCCCCCAGAGTCGCATTTATATCCTTTATTGTTTAGCATCGGAGACTTTATCTAAAATCATCTGAAGTTCAGGAGGAAGTTCAGTGCATAATGAACATTGAGGCAGTTAGGACTTCATGATCACGCCGCTCTCTGTGTGGCTGAAAGTGGGGGGGGCCCTGAGCTGTCCGGGGACTCCCTGGGGGGGACAAATAATTTACCATTGGTGTGAAAGCGACACACTTCACAGACGGGAGTGCTGTGCAGGCACTGCAGCGTGCGGGTATTGACCCGTAATCGATGTCTTAATGAAGCTAACTAGGCCAGCGGGGCTTTAGCCTGGCTCTGTAATGAGCTGTGCAGCTAGTAAGCAGAAGGAGCGGGGGGGTCGAAATGCACCAAGCACTGGGCGGGGGGGGGGGGGTAGTACTTGGGAGGGGGCATACCCCTGTCTGCTGACCTCGTTAGGGTCCCGGACCGGTACACGGCTCGCTGCCCTTCTGCTTGAATAGGTGAAGAGTTTATTGACACATTGTGAGCAGAATGTGTGCAGTTATTGAGCCAGTTGCACTTACTGTGAAATGAAATGAAGGGCCAGCGATGGACCGGCGCCCTGTGACCCTGCATGATGTGGGCGGGGCTGTACTGTACAGGGGCTCCCGTCCTGCCGGGGTTCCCGGTCCCTTTCAGAAGTGGGCGGGGCTGTACCGTACAGGGGCTCCCGTCCTGCCGGGGTTCCCGGCACTTCGACACGAGGCGCCCTCCCCCTCGCTCTGAAGGGGGGGACATCTGCGCCTGCCCTGATCCAGGGACATTAAGCAGCATCCAATTAAATGCTTAAATAAAATTTATTTTCAAGATGATTATATTAGACTCTTTTCCCAGGTGGAGCAGGGAATATGGCAGTAAAACTGGAGGGTGGGATTTGGCCCCAAACATACTCCCTGTGCCCCCCCCCCTCCACCCCCCAGGTTGCTCTCCCCACAGTAACACACATCAGCCCCTAGTCTATGCCCCTAATTGGCCCTTTTGTTGAGCGTACATCCAGGAGGTCTTAAATTGGTTTGGCTAATTAAAAACAAAAGCTAGTGACATTTTTTAGAATAAAAAGTTAACAAATGGCTTTGCTCTGACAGCTCCCCGGCAAAACACCACATCCGTGCCACTGAATCACTCCAGTTTCCGGAAGATGCCGCGGCCGACCGTGTCGGGTCCTATGAACACATTCAGCTCTGTTGTTTTTGCAGATCCCTGCAGTGATTAAATTTACTTCCTGAGGGAGACCAAGTGTCCACCTTAAGCTGAGCACTATCGTCCTGAAACACGGCGAGTTCTTTTGTCCACATACGAAGAATCGGCGTCTGTTTCTAGCCTCTGCTGTCTGTGGCACTTGGCGGCTAAAGCCCAGATATTCAGAGTGAAGCACTCAGCAGGGGGGCGTGATTCTGGACGTCCACTGGGGATGTGGAACCTGCTTACAGTATCACTGCCAGGCTTTGCACCTTGTTTAATGGCTGTGCAATATGGACAGGTACCCTCCCCCCCCCCCCGGGCTGACGGGGCCTCACAGCAGGGTAGGTAGGATGGCCGCTACTGGAATCCGGTTTGGTCCAGTTTGGAAATGCGAAGTGACAGGTCACCTCAGTGTCAAGCTGGGCTGTGTGGCCCCAGGGTTGGAGGGGTGGGTGGGTCTGTATGATTATGGCTGTAAGCCTGGTCTCTCTCCAAAAGCACTGCTTGGTGCTGCTTTGGAATTGGACCTTGGCTCTGAGTCATCCCTGCTGAGGAGTGACCTCTGAAGGCACCCCCTACAGCGCCCCCCGCAGGCCCCTCAGACTGACGCTCTTTTTCTTGGTTCCTCCACATTGCCAGAGGCCTCACATTTCACCCCCTGTTTTTAGTTCATGCCTTGTGCTATTAGCATCCGTGGGCTGTATCACCTCGTCGTTGATGAGGGTTAGGGTTAGGGTTCTATTCTAACTCTTCTTGCGTGGGTACGCCTAGGCCCTTAGCACTCTGCCCATGTCTCAGCATTCTTGGTGCGAGGTCATCAGGGTCAGTCATTCTAACTCTTCTTATTTCAGCCCCTCGGCCCGCCTGCTTTTCATAGCACTCCTCTGCTGTCGATTTTGCTCTTTCCCTGGATTCTTACTCCTCTTTCTTCTCTTCCCCCTTCTCCCCCTGCCCTGTCCCCCCCTCGTTTCTCTTTCTCTCTCTCTCTCACTCACTGTGTGTGGACTGCAGTCGAGATTAAAGTGATCAAGGACCTGCCCTGGCCTCCTCCAGTGGGGCAGCTCAACAGCGCCGCCCCACTGGCCGAGGGTGTGGAGGATTCCGCCCCGCCAGGACACACCGCTGGCGATCAGCACCGTCATGGTGGGTGTGTCTAATCCCCCTCCCTGCGTGTCCCTCCCTCGTCACACTGCTGACCCCCCCATCCCTCTGCCATGTGATTTCTCTTTACTCCAAGCCACCCATCCACCCCCTTCTTACTCAGTGCTGCTGCAGGGGTTAAAAAATTCAAGAATGGTTCTTTGTTTTGTTGTATGAATTCACTGTGATGGATTTGCAGTGCCAATATTAAAGCCCCCGCACGCCTGGGTCTTCAGCAATAGGAGAACTTAGTAAGTTCATCCCTCCCCCAGCTAAGCTGTGAAGATACAGGCCTGGCTGACTCTGCTAAGCTACAGTACTGCGCCATCTCTCTGGTTCCTGGAAGCCATGCGTAGCTTGAACCAAAGTCAATGGAACAAGGGATATTAATTATAATTAGCTGTGTTTAGGAAAGATAATTACCAGTGTAAATTACCTGTACTCTCATTCTGCTTGCGTGTTGATAAATATCTACACACCCCTGCACAAACAGGATAAATTAAGGGCTAATTAGCGGAATGCTGTGACATTACATCCAGAAATCCAGTTCGGCCATTGTGTGCTGCGCTGCTCAGCTCTCCTGCTCACTAGTTAAACAGCAGTGATGGTGCAGTTTCACTGGTGCCATTCCAGTGCTGTCTGGCCAGCTGAACGGACAGCTTTTCTGAGAATCCTCATGGGAGATGTGGTCTCAGTGGCATTGCACATCCCTTTCGAAACGGTCATCCTCAAACTCCAGTGCTGCTGACATGGCTCATAATCCGCAGGGTCAATCCTACTCTGAGGCTGTCACTGGAAACCACAAAGACCGCAGCTTGGACAAGGTGTGTCAGCTTCATTTGCCAGAGTAAGGCAGGAAAATATGTGGCATATATATGATTGGTAACAGATGTAAGTTCCTGAGCCATCAAAAAGGGTTCTCTGTTTTCAAACAAACAGGCTTCCTCATTCCAACATTTTTTTGTAAATTCAGGGAGATCCATTTTCCTCCTTCCTCTGTACATTCCCTCGTTTCCTACTGAGAATCACCTGTCTGCCTCCCCAAATGATCCGGCACATTCCATTGTTTCCTAATGGGCATATCGTACAGTGACCTTCTCCCTGCTTGGAATCTTGTCGCACCTCCAGCACTGCACTTTTCAGGTCAGCTGCAGGGTCATCAGCTGGAATCCGCCATTCTCAGACCTCCCTACCCAGTACAGCTACCTGTTCTCCCAAATGACGACATTCCTCTCCCTTTGTACAAAACACTGTAATTAAGTGACGTCTCTGTTTTTGCATTTCTGCAGCACAATCGCCGGAACATTTCAAAAGGTGGAAAAACTGTAAAGAGCATGGATCCTGAAGTTATTGCTCATTTAAGCAGTAAAAACAGTCAAATTGAACAATATTTTTAATCTACCGTATGAATACATGTGGACTCCTGAATACATTATACATTAGAGTACATTAAACCTAGGGTTATTATTATCATTACTGAAATTAATCTGCTACAGTCTGTTGTTGTAAACTGCCAAGCAATTGAAAAGGAACTCTGAGAGATTTGCATCATTAAATTTTATTTAGTAAGATGAGGGGAAAAGGGCCCTGTGGTGACGAGCTGAGGGTCTGGGGTACGAGCAGGATGGCCTGAACCGCAGGGGTTCTGTCGGCGAGTGTATAGAAGCGCGTCAAACACAAGCCAATAAGCACTCGGTCGAATTTTTAGGTCCAGACTTCTGCATTTCATTAAGTTAAGCTCTGAAACACGGTTGACTGACCCTACTCTCCTTCACAGCCGTGAAACATTTGGCTTGATGTCCGTCGATTTCCCCGCGCGGCAGCACTAAAGAGAAGCGTCTCCCTCAGCGCTGAGCATCCCGTTACCCAGCCGTGAGCTTCATGCACATCCAGCAGCAGATTGGAGCCCGGAAAGGCCTCTTTGAAAACCGCACCTGCCAGCGTTTACTCTGCGTCACCTTACACGCACAGCTCCCTGAACATTCTATCTGAAGTTAGCAATTTCTCAGTTACAGTTCCTGTAAGTTTCCCTGCAGTTGTTTACTCATGAATCGACACGCCGTTTTCGCTCAATCAAAAAAAAAAAACACCCTGGGATGGTTGTGCTGAGGACTGGCTTTATTCTGACTGTCAGAGAAATCGGCGAGGTCCATGAGCTCGGCCCTGAATGGATGCGCTTTGATTGGAGGGCATGTCTGTAATGGCTCTGCTGAGCGAGCGCAGTGAAGGACTCTGAGTGCAGTGCTCCATTAAAGTGCGGAGCAGAGCAGGGGCCGGGCTGCATGAAAACCCATGAAAATCCGGTGTGCCACTGTCAGTCCTAAAAGCCGGCTTGCCCTCACGCACAGCACAGCTGGTAAAGGGAAGCTGCTATGCTCACGTTTGGTCAGGTGATCAATAAGATCAGGCCTGTGGTCCTCTTATGGTCAAACTGTAGTCATGGATACAGAAGAGCTTATGTGGCTTTGAGTCAGTGCAGCCCAGGCCTGTGCCATTCACTCTGTCAGCACCCAGGGCCGGATCCTGCTGCCGAGGGCTCGATTGGCACTAGGGGGCCCAGCCAGTGTCATGAAGAAAATTATATTATATACATGGTCAGCACTAGATATAGGCAGAATAGACAGTTGCTCAAAGCCCAAATTACTTAAGAGTATGCAGCTAGAAAACGGGGGGCTCTCTCGCAGTGGCTCCTTCACAGTGGCTCTCTCACAGTGGCTCCCTCACAGCAGTTCTCCTGCAGTGGCTCTCTGACCGTGGCTCTCTCACCATTGCTCTCTTGCAGTGGGTCCCTCGCAGTGGCTCTCTTACCGTGGCTCTCTTGCAATGGTGGTTCCAGTGGGATTTCAAAATAAAGGCCATCAAGGCCTGTCTCTCACAGTACTTCTTCCTGCCTCTAATCTGACCTAATGAACTGCATTATAAAATGTATAATTTATAACAGCACTATAAATAACCTAATGAAAATCGCTAAACATACCTGAGGTTTCTGAGGTTTCCAGATTTCCTCTACACCTCCATCCACAGTTACTGCTATGATTCCTGTCACTTGCCGCCTCTTCATTATTACCATGGGACACCAGTGCACATACTGCTGCCACCTACTGTACGGAGTGATGTACAGCACACCACTCACAACGAGCTGTCCCCATAGAGTCTCCATGGGCGAGGATCTTTTCTCCTGCTTCTCAAATTACCGGCCTTGCAGACAAAGTGAAATGATAATCGGTTTTCCTTGTTGGGGGGCCTCCAAAATCAAGTTCTGCCCAGGGGCCCGGTAGTCTCCTGCCCCCCCCCCCCCCCCCCCAGGATTATCCCACCCTGTGGTGTCTCTGCTTGCTCACTCAACTGGTACAGCTGATAACAATGGCTGAGGTGGTTCTGCCTCTTGCTCAGAAGTCTGAGACGCGATGACATCATGGTCATTTTGTGCGGCCCTGCATTACTCGTGATCGCGACCCAGCCTGCATTCCAAACGCCAGGACCCCGGGGAGTACAGGGGGCACTGCCTGCTGCCAGTGTGGCCATCTGTGCTGCTGGGGGGGGGGGGGCGTTTCACATTTCACAGCTACATTCATTTCATTCACAGTCGTTTAAGGCTGAACCCCTTATTTCGTAAGCGGTATCACTGCAGATCCCTGTAAATGTGCCCCGCCCCCTGGAATACACGGCTGGTTAAAGGCGTCTCGCAGTGATGCGCTGCGGGCCAGTACTTCCTTGCAAACCCGGCCTGCCTCACTCCTCCTCTACAGTGCAGTTTGACAGTGTGGAGAAGCCCCAGCCATCCCCCAGCAAGGACACCAAGGTGCGTCCTCTGCAGAGACACTCCAGCGGCTGCCTGGTAAACACCAAGCTGGGCTCGCTGGACCAGTGCCCCCCCATCCTCGGCGAGCGTATCGACCCCTCCATGCCCCTGGAGAGACAGTTGTGAGTACACCCCCGCACTCATTCATTCTCAGATCACGTTGCCCAGTGGGTGGTTATTGGTTTATGTGATGTTTGCTTGGGCGCCGTGCTGGGCTGTACATGCTGCTATGCACTGGGAGCCCTGGGAGCTTTACCTTTCCCTTTGATGTTCATGCGCTCCGAATCCCACAGCTGGTACCACGGGGCCATCAGCCGGATCGACGCCGAGTCCCTGCTGAGGCTGTGCAAGGAGTCCAGCTACCTGGTCAGGAACAGCGAGACCAGCAAGAACGACTTCTCCCTCTCCCTCAAGTAAGGCCCTCTCCTGGTCACATGACCAGCCCAGGTGCTGGCTCCACCTTCCCGGCCAATAAGGGCAGGGCGGCTGTACGTGTCACGGTTCTCTCTGTGGGGAAGGCAGCTCTGCGAGCCTGAGTGCTTGGTGAGGTGATGTCTGACAAGGAGGGGCAGTTTGACAGATGGGAGCGTCTCGATGAGCGAGCCCTCAGCCGCGGCCTTCAACCCGGACAGCTGTCAGGGAGGGGAGCGAGTCAGGAAGCTGGCCAGGGGTGGGTCTGGTGACAGCAGGTTAGGGTAGTGGGGTGGGGGCCGTCCCTGTCCGTGCCCCCCCCCCCCCCCCCCCCCCTTTGCCATTAATCCTCTGCATCATGGGAGAAGAGAAGGGGGCATAAAAATGGCCATTTGTCATCGTTCCCTGGTGCATCCTGGCTGTTGTGGTGTGAGGAATGGCCTGATTAGCGGAGGCTGACCCTGTTGTCTGTCAGCCCGCATCACTTCCCATAGCCAGGGACCTCAGACAGCAGGGTCAGCTCTGGTGTCACATGAAATGCGATGACATTTTGGCCGGCCTTACTGGACGCCCCAGGCCTTAAAGAGTTCAGTGAGCCTGCATCCCATAATGGCATGGAGTATACTGGAGGAATGTGCGCCGCAACACTGTAGGCTCAGCTGCTGATACGCTGTTCTGCCCCGGGCAGTTCATGAGGGAAACTCGCTCATTATATAAGCTGTCAGATAGTCACCAGGTCTCACAGGTCCACTGACAGCCTTTATTTTTATAGCTGCAAAACCGTTATTTATGCTCCCCTGCCTTTGTAACAAAAGTGTTGCTGCTGTAAGTATTTTCAGGTTTCTTTAATTTATGAAAAGTAGGTAAATCATCAGGACTCGCACATCAGAGATACACATTCATGCTCCTATTTATAGTGAAATCTGCCAACTGTCCTCTTTGGTAAATTCTCTTCTTTTAGATGACAAGTTGGCAGCTATGATAAAATGTCAAAAGCCTCTATCAGCTGTCTGTTTTAATGCCTCTTTGTGACAGTGACAAACTTATTAACAGGCACTGAGCTGGGAGCCCTATCTGAGGACCCTAGCATGGTCATGTTCTCCAGCCCGTGGAACCTGGAGACAGGAAGCGAGCTTAACCCTGAGCTTAACCCTGAGCTTAACCTCTCTCTTCCAGAATGGCGAAGATGACATGTTGTACAGAGGATGTCGAGGAATGCAGGGCGATAACACAAACATACCAGTCATACCCTACTGAGAACATCATTAGCGCTCGTACGGGTTTTAATTTGTACCCATCATTCTTCACTTGTTTACTGGAGGCCTTTCGACGCAAGGGGGTTTGATCAGGGATTACATGACACTCAAGTGCCGTTTGACAACGGCAAAATGAAAAGAAGGGGCCATGAAAAGGAGCTTGTGGAATGGAGCCCCGCTCCTGTAAATGGGAAGAAAAATCAGTGTGTGAAGGCAGCTCTGCTGACAGCGGGAACGAGATGCACACGGACTGATTCCAGAACTTAAACACAGTAATTAGCGGGGATTTGAAGCCTGTCTAATGGTATTAAAAGTAAAAAATACGGCCATTTCAGACAGCCCATAAGTATTGTAGGAATATCTCAGCAGGATTTATTTCTCGCCTGTAATTACCACACAACTCTTCAGACATCCATTAAGACTGCTGGATTCGGGCTGCGGCGGTCCAGTCACTCTGCCCAATCACAGCACTGATCTGCCTGTCAGGAAGTGGCCATTTGTCCTCTCAGATGTGTGCCAGCTGGCCAGTCCAGCTCGCAGATTTACCTGTTGGTAACGGCAGTTTGCTCTCATGCCTGGGATGGATGTAGATTTGCCGCAGAATGGTACACATGCCTGTTTTAGCTCCAGGTTTGGCATCCACCTTGGATACTGAAGGATGTCAAGAGTGAAACGGCACCAGGATTAGGAGCCTGAAACCTGATACCGACAACAATTTTTAAAGCATTTGGCAGGCATCCAGTGGCAGTGCGAGTTCTCAGCACTGTGCACACTTTTGATTGGCTGAGGAGGGGGACTGAGAACCGTAGCATTAAAAGGGGCGGAGGCAGGTGAAAAGCTTGCTCTGCTATGCTTCCTCCCAGCTACCTTTCCCCGCCCGTGTATTTTTGGTTTCTTCGTGTCACATGACCTGCCTGCCGTCCCACCCAGAGCATGCCTGAGGTGGACATTATCTTGGGCACAATTACAAGTTGCACCCTCGTCTTTGTACTCGCAGGGCTGTCGCTGTGATGTGGTGGCGTGGCGGGTAGATAAGCCGGGGGGTGTCCAGGGCTAGACATAAGGATTTAGGAGGGCACAGCCACTTTGGCCTTGGCTATTCATATTTTTTCTAGGGCACAAGGCCATTAAGCCTGGGCACAAGGCCAAAATCTGGAGTAAATTAGCTAGTGTGCAGTGGTATTGTTTTTTGTGAAGTCATTGACAAATTAAAAATTTTAATTTGAAAAAATGTTTTTTTCATTTACTTAAATTTCATAGGACACCTCAGGCCTTGTGGAGGAATTTTATTTCCATAAAGGATGCATTTTTTTATTTTCAAAAAAGCAGAAACTTTCCAAAAAGGCATTGGGCCAATACTGAGTCACTAATTACCAATTACTGTAATTACCAAGTTTAGACAACCTACGCAATACGACCTTCGATTTGAGACAGAATATATACAGTATATATATTTATAGATATATATATAGCTTTATTTCAAAAAACAAAATCCAACAATAAAGGAGCCGTCAATATTTTTGTATTTGTTTGCTCAGAACACCCGTATTCTTTTAGTGTACATGACAATTGACTTGACGTTCGTTTTTTGCACACTGCACGCTACCAGTCCTATATCCTCCCAGCAGAGCTTGGTACTTCTCTGAGTCAAATCTGCTCTGCCTCGGCAAATGTTTTTTTACAACACCATCTGACACTTACCTGAACGAAGTAGATAATTTGCAATATTTTGCGGCAGTAGCCGCGAGTTCAGCTTGCTTTCTTTTACGTTCTCGATCTTTGCGAGGCATGGTGACAGCATAAGCAGCAGACGACAACTACACGATGATTACCGAAAAGGACACCTATCTGTTATTCGGAAACCGTAGGATGGCTTTTCCAATCAAAAACGTAACCCCCGATGATGCACCATTGTCATTGCTGTGGCTCCATAGTAGGCTGGACGATACATACCGTACCAGCCAATCATGCGACGAACACATGATCGTATTAGTCCAGAATTCATTGCGGTTCATTCAGTAGTTGGGAATTACGAGATGTGCGGGTCGACCTCGTTTCTCGTATCGAAGGTTGGGTTCGGGTTCAGTACAGATGCATCGATTGTTGACGAGGTAAAGTGGACCGTGTCGTGCGCAAGTCTTTTGTGTAATGAACGTTACTTTCGGTAAAAAGGGGGCATACGGCCAGACAAACATTAAAGGCAGGCCAATCTTGGCCGTAAGGTACTTCAATTTTGAGGAGGCGTGCGGCCAATTTTGAAAGGCACGACGGCCATTGGCCGCGGTGCCGCGGCTTATGTCTAGCCCTGGGTGTCCGCTGGGGGTGGGGCTGGGGGGGCAGGTCTTCCCCCAGGTTGCAGGGGCACCTAACCCATTTCACATGGTTTCCAGATCACTCCTGTTGCATGTAAATGGTGCGTTCCTGCACTGGATAAGCAACTTCCTGACCCCTCTGTTTTTCTGGCAGGAGCAGCCAGGGGTTTATGCACATGAAACTGTCCCGAACCAAAGACAACAAGTTCGTCCTGGGCCAGAACGGCGGCCCCTTCGACAGCGTCCCCGACATCATCCACTTCTATTCCAGCCGCAAGCTTCCCATCAAAGGCGCCGAGCACATGTCCCTGCTGTACCCCGTGGCCATCAGGACGCTGTAGCGCCCACTCGGTCGCTGGCTACCCAGGTGTGGATTAACAGGCAGCTTGTGAGGGTTGAAGGGTCAAAGGTCAGAGGATGAGGTCGTCCCTGTGCTTTTGTGTGAGATGTCGCCCTTCCCCCCCACCCTTTATGACATTGCCACATGTTCTTTCTCTGACCCCCTTGGGGGGGGGGGGGGGGGTGAGACTATCATCACCAGCTAAGTAGATGAACACCCCCCGAGATCAACACCATCAAGAAATGTTTATTTTGCAAGAAGTCCAGCTATATAAATCATGGAAAACTAAACAGAAACCGACGATGTGAACTTAGCTACTCCTTGTTGTTTAGGTTTATATGCAATTAAATGTGTCATTTGTACCTGTACGGTCGTTACTCCACGTGGTCCTTAAAAAGGAAGCATCTACGTCTGTCAGAAGAGGGGGTTTGTGGGAGGGGCGTTTAAATCTCAGTGGAAAGCAGATACCAGAGAGTATATTTCAGATGGTTTCTATCCTCAGTGCACATTATTATTGACAGACTTTGCCTGAAATATTGATATATAAGTTAATTGTAAATTGATTGTATTGTGATGTAAAATTGTGTTCAGAAGCTGTAATCCTGAAGGACTGGGATCCTTCACTGAATGTGGTGTCGGAGATGCTCTGTGAAGCCTGGGAGATGTGCAGACACGTCCCCCTCTGACCTGCCAGCTCTCTGCATTTGGCGCAGATCACTACCCTGCTGCTATCCGGCAAACTCCAGCTGCGCAGCTGTAGCCCTGCAGCCGGGTTGGTGACGGCGTCCTCTGCAGGTCCTGCCCCTCCAGTCCCTCCCTGCCAACCATCCCAGATGAAACATGCCTCCTCTGTGATTCTTCTCTTCTTCTTTTGTTTAAGAGTGATGGACCCGTCTCGAAGAGTGAAATTACCGTTGAATTCTCCAACCTGCGATTGCTTGAAATTAGAGTGGATCAAACATGCATTATCTACCTCAGGAAAAAGCGATCAATTTTATTCACCCACCTATGAATCAATATGTGCAGTGAGGTCACAAGGTATAGATCTCCATTCCCAACTCATATTTCAAAAAAGTTTTACTGAAAATGATTTCGCCTGAAGCTAATCAAACACCACTTAAGCACGATTAGGCGAGGTAGCCGTGGTTAGTTTGTGAGCTGCAGTTGGGTTAATCTTTTCCAGAGCTTGCCCTGACATACTTATGGTACAGCTGCAGTGCATTGTGGGTAATTCCCACTGATCCTTTTCATCCAGGTCTGAATACAATAATTTGACCTTCCTCTCATCCAAAGTAAAGACCCAGTCGCAGTGTACAATTCTGGCTTCATGTTTTACCACTTTACCATTTAATTACAGAATCCCTGCATTATTTTGCATGGTGGCAAGTCAGAAAGTGCATAGGTAGTTTATTTCATCATGCCCGTTCTTCTGCGTACATATCATAATGTAGCTGAGCACTGGATTTTACCCACACAGACACTTTTGGACATGATCAACACTAGTAATTGCTGTCCAGTTCTGCCAGCACGCCGTGTCGCGCACTGGGTCATGTGCTCAGTGGCCCGTGCGACACTGGCAGTGATAAACGACACCTACTGTAGAGTTCGCAGAGGTGAGCTGATTTCTCTGCATCCCTGTGTTTAAGCTGCTGTACCATTTCTCTCAAGAGACCCGAGGCTCTCTGTGGACAAAAGGATAGTCCGTCGACTGGCTGATAATTGTGTAAGACTGCTGGCATGTAAAACTGGTTCCTGTCCTAAGAGAGCTTTGTGAGCAGCCTGGATTCCCTTTACCCGTATCATCCAAGGCGCTGAGACTCCCCTTCTTCTCTCACTAAGTTTATGTGCTTTTTTTGTTATGGTACAGCCACTTATATTCAGATACCCCAGTGCTAGGAAGGTACCTCAGAGGCCAGTAGGACAGTGTGGCTCCCTCTCTTGGGCCAATGAGTTGCAAACATCAATGACCCACTTCTGTTCAGCAGGATATTTTTCAAGTTTCCTTCCCGAACGACACGGGGGCGAATGGGGCCCTGCTCACCAAGCCCTGAAATCAGCGGGAGTGACGACGCTGAGATGGAGCAGAAGCTTGGAGCCTTTGGGAAATCGCTGGAACATGAGGCTGCGATTAAGTGTCAATGAGTTTAGAATTGGAACTAGAAAAATGCTCCTGAACCTTAACACGCTCACGGAAGATACAGCATGTTTGGTGATTTATGCAGTTTGTCGTCCTCTCGGAAGCTACCGGACTTGTGGTGTTGGCAGGGACCCGAGACGGCAGAATGGCTCCCTGGCGGCCACGGGAGAGGTGGGGTGTAAGCCCAGCTGCACCCCTGTGTGTCTGCCATCTTGCGGGGGTGGGATTGGCCTCCTCGTGCCCCCCCCCCCCCCATATATGCACTAATCAGGCTGATCCGTATAGTTCCTCTTTGCCAAATGTATATACTGAATGTGTTGTATGGGAATTTCCTGGTATCGAAATGTAACGACTGTGGGAAATAAAGTGGAGTTTATGAGTCTCTGCATGGAGTGTTGCTACTTTTCTCTGCCAGAGGATCTGCTCTGTGCTGCCAGGGCTGCAAAGCTGTTCCAGTATCTTCTAGCAGGAAGACCCTGGCCAGCGGATTTCCCAGTGGGGCAGAATGGGTTACGGGATGGGTAGTGTGATTCTCAGTTGTCAAGGGGGACACTATTTACTTATAGCCGCAGTTGCAAAATAATACTCCTGGTGTGTGTGTTGGGAGTAGTTGAAAGCCAAGTAAACAACGTGTATTGCTTTTGGTTCTCACTCTTGTAAGCCTCAAATCACACCTCCTGACTGATCTTTTGAGATTGATGTGAAATTAAATCTGTTTAATGTGTATCCGACAACTTGGTGTCATTCCTTCGCTTTTAAGGCACGCCAGTTCCCTCCTCATCCTACTGAAAGTCGCTGTCAAGGCCTCTTCGTAAACCGACATCTCCGAATGTCTGTTGCCATGGTGAGCCGTTTGGGAAAGTAAGTACTGTGGAGTTACTCAAAGTTCACAGAGCCAAGTGTGCTGTGTAACACCGAATGCATAGTGCTCTTTAAGATGAGGGGAGCGCGGTCAGTGACACGAACTTCTTGAGAGTGACGTGCTTATAAATGCTGTCCCTGTCGGGAAATTAGATATTGGTCTGTTAGCTTCTTACAACAGTAAAAAGGGCCATTAATCATCCTGGATTTCTCCTTGTCTTGTAAAAATTGTGAAAGAACGTCTATTAAATCCTGCCTTGCTTAGGTCATTTTGTTGCGTAAATCAGCGTCTCTGACAAACCCATGGATGACTCCCTACTGGTTCTTGCTCTTCTGCCCAGTGGAGACCCCAGGCTCAAGGCTGCAGGGTCTCAGCTGCACCACTCTCTTGCTGACCCTGACACGCCACCTACTAAAACCTCGGTGAGTCAGCTGTCAGAGATGCGCACTGCAGGCAACCCTGTTAATAACTCTGTGGAGCCAGCCTGCTATCAAATCCCTGGTGGTCAGATCTTAACGAGCTCACTTAATTAAACAATTAGGGAAGAGGATTGAAAGAGACAGGAAAGCATTGCATAGATTAGACTAAGAGCATTGCCTCTGCTTTGATAATGCTAAAATATCTAATGAACTTAGCCCCGGCAGGAATGCTAACCTGGGGTAAACTCTGGCAGGCATGTCTTTATACCCTGACACACAGAAAAGCCAGATGCCACTTCAGTCATTCAGAGACTCACAGCCTATAAGAGTTCAGCAGCAGAGTCCAGTGACAGACTCATCACTAATTAAGTCTAATAAAGAGGTTGGATAATGTGGCTCTTTGTTGATTAGGCCTTACACTGGTCCATTGAGAAGTCCAGATGGGCGGAAGCTCTCTTTTCTAGTGGTGAGTAATGGCTCTATTGTGTGTCTTGTAGAGCACACCTGCTTTGTGCTGTCGCTTGAAAAAGGTCCAATTTACAAAGGTCAGCCTGTCGTGAGCCACACTACAAATGCCTCGCTTGCCTGGTTTTGCTGGGACTGTGTGCAGGACACGTGGAGGCTGGCTCTGGAATTGTCTACAAGACACCTAACCTTCTCCTCTGAGATTGACTGTTGGAGTACATTTGAGGAGGTGTGGAGGAGTCATTTGAGTACCTCAGGCCAACAAGCCCATTTATCAATGGCATGCAGTTTATGATCTTTGAAGAAGGCCGACTGATGAATCGTATAGCTGAGAGGAATGATATTGTCAATAAGGGTTAGAGAGGGATTCTTGGCCCAAGATGCCATGGTGTTTGAAGGGACATTGCAGTGCCTGTTCTATAGACACACTATCCTAGTTTATGGTTCCCCAACCTTGAGTCTGACTACCATATGAACTCAATGGAGTCTCACTTGCGCTGATGTTACAGTTCCGAATTCTGAGATAAGCTTTTCTGTGGTGCCATGCTGGAGCCGTTTTTTGTGGTGGAAGCACGTGGAACCAGTGGGAAAATCCCAGCACCAGCACCACTTTGGTGGAAACGAGGAATGTGTCTGACGGGAACCTCTAAGGATCCCCTCCGTAGCAGTTTGTACCCGTCAGCTAACCCGCTTACATGTGTGCGCCTCTATCTCCTTTGTGCAGTCGATGGGCGATGGATCACACAGTCCGCTTCTGCTCTGAGTGGCTGCTGCACTGTATGTATTAATGTAATTGGTCATGTGAGGAATATTTAGCTTTGGGGGAAGACTGTAAATTGCCTGATGGGACCCTGTGCCTCTTCTCTTTGCATTTTTACTTGGTTTATTGAGAAGATCAAAAGACTTTATCACAAACTGCAGACTATGAATCCATGAATTCCTCCGTAAGGGCACCGTTGTCCGCTGGCACTCCGAGGCACCGGGTGGCACCGCTCTGATGAGCGTTAATTCTACAGCGGTCACCTCTAATTCGATTAATTCCTTTCTTCTGCCATCCTTTGTGTGCTTTTGATGGATGGATCACTCGCTCAGAGGGAATTAAACACCTAGGATTAAACTGCACGGGATGAAAGACGGAGACCTTTTCTTCTGAGCACAAAAGGCTGATCGGATGCTGGGGGGCAGAGAGAGAAGGATGGCTGACAGGCATCAGAGCTCACCTAGCAGGGTCACAGAAAATGGGCCACGTCAGTCACAGGCTCATTTCACATTCTGCTCAGTCATGTCCACCTGAAAGCAATTTCAGGTAATAGACTTCTTACCATCAGCCCACAAATTGCATCATGGGGGTGAAAAAAATACCCAGAAAACACACAAGATACCAAGGTCCCCATTCTGATTATATTTTTTCAGTATAATATTAAGCATAAGATGTAAAAATGAACTTTTTTTCTTTATGATTGGGGTTAATGCAATAGGCTTGAGCAGTTTTTTTTTTAATATCTCATAAATAATCCTGCAAATTACCTGAAATGATTGAAACAGGAGGGCTAGAAGGCTGAAAGGCCCAGCCAAGGTCTTTTACGACAATCCCGTTGGTCTTCTCCATCCCATCTTAGCCTAAATGAATGAGCTATGGGATCTGCAAGGTGATGGCATTTAGGATGGAGAGCCCTCCGGCTCCGGGATCCGCGAGGCGACGGCGCTGGGGGCGTAGGGAGCTCCGGCCATGAGGCGACAGCATGGGAGATGTAGGGCGCTCCGACTGTGGGATCCATGATGTGACGGCGCTGGGGACGTAGGGAGCTCCGGCCATGAGGCGACAGCATGGGAGATGTAGGGCGCTCCGACTGTGGGATCCATGATGTGACGGCGCTGGGGATGTAGGGAGCTCCGGCCGCGGCATGGTGTCAGCTGGCCTACTGTGCAATGGCAGGAGTCCGACAGCCATTTGAACCACTGGAGATAAAACATGGCTTCTGTGTCAGCAGTGCTGTTACCCGTGGGAGGCTGAGGTAATAAACTTGGAGGAGAAAGTTGATATAGGCATTATGGGAGAACTGGGTGGGGGTACTGGGAGGGAGGGGCATAGGGAAGCACAGCCCTCTGCGGCAGGGGTGCTGAGGCCAGCGTGTTCCACCAATGGCAGCTATGCCAGGGATGAGCGGCACTCTGCTTCCCCTGGGGAACCATGAAGTGTATCCTAAGCCATTTCCTGCACCCACTTGTCCACCAAAGCTTATCCCTGAAGTAAGGCAGGGAACAACCCACAACAGGGGGGGGTGGGCACCACTGCAGAGCACACTCACACAGACAATTTAGCAACTTCAGTTAACCTCAGCATGTTTTTGGACTGTGGAAACCCCACGACGACACGGGAAGAACATGCAAACTCCCCACATGTAGAACCGTGCAGACACTCAAACGCTGGTCCCAGAGGTATGAGGTGACAGTGCTAACCACTGCGCCACTGCACCACTGCACCACATCAGCTTCATCTTAAACATCCCCTGCATGTTGACTCCAGCAGTGATAACATGAAGACTGGCATTTGTGAGGTATAACAAGCCTTTTTAGGAATTTTCTGTATTGTATGTCGTCCTGCTATAGGGCATCATAAATGAGAGAAAAGGCTATTGTGAGGAAGAGGTCTTTTGTTCACAAAAAAAAAAAAAAAAACACAAAAAAAAAAAAAAAAAGCGGTGCAACGGAACCACATTCTTCGTGTCTGCATGTTTGACCAGCAGAAGCTCTTTATTTAATCTGTAACTACAAAGCAAGGTCAAAGTAAGCACAGCTTTTCAGATACGGGGCATCCCTCAAATCTCCAGCAGGCCAAACTACAGCAAAGTCACTCTGCCTTTCGGGTCACTGACACAGATGCTTAATCAATGACAACAAAAAGGCCTGTCACTGCACCTTCGCTTTTCCGTGTTCTCATCAGAATTGCTTTCGACAGAGACGGTATCTGTATCATTCATTTCCAATTCCCTCAATGTGGGACTTCGATCCCCTTCTAGCGTGCCTTTCTATAGGAAGGCAGTCAATCAAAAGACCAAAGTAAGCAGGAGGTGGGCGTGCTGAGAGCAGGACAGCCTCTTCTGAGGCATCATGGGAAATGCAGCAGGTGCTAAATGCACCAGCGTGTGTGGATGTCTCTCCTTTATCTGAGGGTTTGCAGGACATGTGAGATAAGTGCTGTGTTTTGGAGCTCTATAAATTAACGCCTGCTTGCCCAGTTGAGGAGGTGACCATTAATAGGACAGCATCTGATTCAGAATAAAAAGCTTTAATTGAGAGGGATTTTGAGCTGTGTGGGAAGGGAGATGGTGACTCTTTTGTCTGAGCTGCAGACTCTTCTCTCCTGAAAAAAAAGAGACAAAACAAGCGACCAAGTGCTTGTGATTCATCATAATAACGAATGCAGAGGGCTGTTCGAGTTCCCACCCACCAGATGCTCTCTGAACTGGGAGGTGCCACCACTGGAAGTCAGGATGGGGGGGGGGGGGGGGTCTATAGAGCTCACCTTCGTTAACAGGCCATCTCCAGAGGGATCTCCTGCTCGGTTTCTTGCTTTGAGTCAGAACGTCAGGCTGCTTTCATAGGATTCCATCAGTGTCTAGGCTTGTTAAACAACATAATCCTGACCCTGGACATTGCCTTAAGAACATCTCCCACAGTATAGCTAGTGGAGTGTACAGTCCATCACATTGTATGTATGGGAAAAAGGTTTCAGTATGAAGCTTCACACAGATACAGTACAGACTCAGCTCAACATACAGACCCATTGAGTTCTTTGGCTTTGACTGCCATCTAGTGTACAGGAAGAGGCACTGATTTGTTCGGCCTTGCATTTGCAAGACAAATTGGATTTGATTCAGATGCTTTTATGCTTTAAATGTCATCTGTTGACCCACAGCGTTTTCCTTGAAATGCTTTTCACTTGGAATGTAGTGCTTCCTAAAGGTCAGCGTGCGTTCCCTGTGAATCAACACACAACGTCTGCCCTTGAGCCTCGGAGACGGCCTGACTGCCGGGATGCCGGAGCTTCTCAACGGCACGTGAGCACCGGCGATCCCGTGTATGGCGCTTTCGAACTACACCGGAGATGAAGGAAGAGGTCTGCAGCATGACACAAAAGTATAAGCAGATTGGTTTTATTCAACCTCATTCACCCGAAAAGTGGAGGTGTAAAGAAAACAAGTTGAGGTAAAATTAAAAAGGAGGCCAGACACTGAGATGCAGAGCGCTCCACTTTCCATGGATGCCGGACGGCACTCGCAGAGTCAGGCTGTGTCTGTTTACCGCGCGCCGATCAGGTAGGGGTCCGGGGCGCAGAACGCGTGACGCGACATTTACATTGATTTCTGTAGCAGACATTTTTATCCACCGGTGATGTGATGACTCTGCCCGCCGGCTGGCTCAGGGCGCCCCCCCCGCGAAGATGAGCTCGAGGGCGGCCTGGATGTCCCCGCCGGTGGCCTGTAGGGCCCGCAGAATCAGCTCCTCATCCTGGATGCCCATGTCTCGCAGCTGCTGCAGCTGGGACTGCCACTGGCTCTGAGACACACAGGAGGGACGTCACTGGCCACTGGAGGCCGCCTGAACTGCACCGCGAGGCGAGCGTCACGTGACGGGGGGAGAGGAACGCTCGTCGCCTCAAGAATGCCGGAAAGAATATAATGCTATAATCTGACTGGACACAAAAGACTTCAACAAATAATTTCATTAAATTGCCAATCAAGCATAAGAGGTAAATGTTATAACCATTAAAATAATTACATTGTTGAGAGTGAGCCAAGCAGATCCTTAGAGATCAACAGACGAAGTGTACAAAGCACAGCCTATGGGAGCCACACCCCCACAGCTCTCACCTGCAGGGTGGACAGGCTGGAGACCTGCAGGGCCTGCTGCAGGGCCTGGTTGAAGATGTCATTGGTGATGGGTGTTCCGGCGGGCACAGGGGACACCCCCGAGGAAGTGGCCTGACAGGAGAGAGGTGGGTGGGTGACACGAGCCGTGGGGGCCAGTAACGTTACTACTGACATTAAAGGACAGGCAGACTGGGTTTGGCAGGAGCCACAGAAATGTAATGGTCTGGATGAAGGTGCTAAAAATTCATTCCACTTGGGCACGTTCATGGGAGATAATTTCCCCAGTGGAATCATTTGTGGGAGGTGGGGATAACGAAAGACGCATTTAAATCTAACGTTTTCTACTCAATCTTTGCAGTCTGTTAAAAGCACATAATAAATTTAACGGCCAATCTAATTATGCTGTAATTTAATCTAACTGAGCAAGTCACTCAGTCGGCTGTAACTTTGACTGTGATGTAATTATTGACGGGCATCAGCGCGGCCCGTAAACGGGGCGGATGGGTACCAATGCCCCGCTGAGGGCAGTTTGCACGCAGCACACCTGGTTCCCCGTCGTCGGGGTGACAGCGCTGCTCTCAGGAGTGCTGGCCAGGGCGAGCGCGGTGGCCAGCTCGCTCTGTGTGATCGGCCGGGGTCCCACTGCCCCGCTGTAGCCCAGGCTGGCAGGTCGAGTCCCCGAAGGCCCCCCCGTGTCACTGGATGGCCCTGCGCGGTTACCCTGCATAATGACAGGCAGAAGCGGCTTTCAGAGATGCGCAGAACCTCTGGGATGGCACACGCCCAGCGGGTTTAACATCCACGGGGCCTCCCTACCTCCGGGAAATCCTCCTCATCGTCAGACATGCCTTCAAAGAGAAATCCCCCTGGAAGCAGGAGGGCAGGTGAATGGGGCGCTACATCACTCTGGCGACATCATCCCCCTGCACAGGACCCAAAGGGCCCCGGTCCGACACGACCCACCTGGCATGTCGCTGTACGAGGCAGAGGACACGTTACGCGAGGGGGCGCTGGTCTGGGCCGGCACGCTGCCTGCCACCGAGTGCAGAACCAGGAGGATGGCGTTGACCAAAGCTGGATGGGAGCTGATTAGCCTGGGGGTGGGGGTGGGGGTGGGGGATGAAGGCACCACAACACACATGCGCTCTGATGCACAGAGGTAGCTTTATGCAATACCAAATATTGTGTGTTTAAAAAAAAGAAACTCACATATCAAGCATGGCTGGGTCTGTGAACTGAATAAAGAGATCTTTGTCTTGCAGAACTCCTAAAGAAAGAAAGAAACACAGAAGGAAAGATAAAGAAACACAGACAGACAGACAAAAAGAAAGGAAGAAAGTCAGTCATTTAATAAGAAAATGTTATTTGGTGTGTTTCTGTGTGTAACAAGACTACATGCCAAGTGCAATAGGATCATTGATCAGTCCAGGTGTGGCCACTATGATCTGGTCCAGAGATTCCTTGTTGTTCAGCATCTTAAACACCTGGAGGACAGAGAGAATGGTTTTAATATTAGTCATCCTCAACGGAATCTTAGGAAAACAGTCACTTTTACTCCAGCATGAGCCTGCCACAATTGATCTGTCCTCAAGCAAGCTATGCTCAGACAGCCCAGTGTGCATGGAACCCCAGCTGGACAGGACCCAGCTGCCGGCCCCACCTACCGAGTCTCTGTAAGCCGTGCTGGTGTGGAGGGCTGCCTGCAGGACCCGGAACTCCCGGGCTGCTGTCGTCCTGTCCACCGGCTCTGTCACAGAGAAAAAAACAGAGAAGTTAACTTTTCTGGAGTTATTTACAACTGTTCTCTCTGCAGATGTCTCAAGCCCAACACCATCTGTGATGTTGTAATAATTAGTTCAGATAAAATAAAACAGTAATTACAAAATGCCATGTTTGCTGCTAAGGTATCTGGGAGGCAAGCGTGTATGACGAAAGACATCGTGTAGTGTATTTAAGAGGCCAGCTGTTCCAGGAAGAAGGCTCACATATGATGACATCAGTGACTGCATGTGAGTAGGTAAATAGCGAATTGCGTGAATGTGTGCGAAGCTGTAACACAGAGATACTATGAAACATTAAGCACCAGTGCAGCTCTAACCTGGGTGGCCTTCAGGCTCCGGCCAGTATTTCTTCAGGATGTGCACGGTGGATCCAGGTAAGACTCCGTAGGACTCTAACGTCAACTCATCCTTAAGCTTTCTGCCGCAGTACACCAGCTCTGAAACGCGAATGCAGCGGCAAACGAAAACTGACCTCAGCTGACAGTACATGGAAATAATCAGAAACGCGGACCATCTCCAGCATCTTATTCTGAATGCATTTATGAGACGTTAACAGATCACCACGCAACTAATATACTATATTCAGAAGTGGCTGATGACGGAAGCTCACCTATAAGCTCTGGGTCCGGTACGCAGTCAGGAAACTGTGCGGCAACCAGCTGCTTGAGGGTGGCCACTCGGTACTCTCCGGGGGGGACATCTCCGGGCTCCGACTCCGGGAACTGCAGCACCGACTTGGGCGGAGACGGCTGGTCCATCAGCTTCAATGACAAGCGCCACTCTGGAGCCCCCATGCCGCTGGCGTGCTGCGAAAGGGACCGGGGCAGCTTACTGCGGTTTTCAGCACAACCTGAGGCGTATGACGATGTGCTGGTAACGTCCTGGGTGTCGCACAGCGGTTTATCTGCCCAGCTAGATTAAATTATACGCAATCAAAAGAAGTCTGCATACAATTTCACGGACAAAAGCAATAACATGGAAAGAACATCAAGAATCCCTGGTAAACCGGATGTTTTTATGTGATCCACCGGAAGTAAATCAGATAATGATTTTTAATGTCGCCACCTGCTGACGGGCGTCTGGAACTGCTAATGTGGACACTGAGAGACGGGGAAATGCAGACCTCCCTCCTCAAGCTCCAAGTATTTTATACTCAGTACCCGTTTGCCTAAACAGTTACATCAGTTGAATAGATAGTAATATAGTGACCTTCATGTCGCCTTGTTTTTCCAGTTTTATTAGATTTGTTTTAATTGCATCTGCAGATTGGGAATGATAATTATGAATTACTATCAACCCCTCCGTGCTGAACAACAGGGAAGAGTGATTGTTATTACCATCTTACAGATTCAATTTATTAAACTAATAAAACAAGGGGGCATAGACTTTATTTATAATAGGTTATTTCAGCTACTGCAATCCTAAGTTGCCAGAATATTGAAAATAGAAGTTTTTTTTCCGTATTATTTGTCTACATTAATGCTTCTTTTGTGTTTTTCGTGTAATATCTAGTAATATTTATGCCTGTTACTGCAGCAGCTGCGAGAGAATGGAAAAGGTCCTTCGCAAATCAGTCGTGGAGGAATTCCCAGACAGAGGGAGTCCTCGAAGGCCTGTCTACTGTTTAACTAAAATTAACCCTTAAAAATATCCAACTGTTACATTTCAAACAAGAAAGTTAATGAATTACAAGTGAAACTAAATGTTTCTACGAACTGTGGAGTATGATTTAAGGATAATTAATTGTTTATTGTTATTTATTGTCATTTTACACCACTAGACTGAGGATTGATTTCCTGCTAAATCAGTTGCTTCCAGCTCCAGGTCTTTGTCGCATCATGTCCTCTGTGATAATGGCAGCATAATTCGCTGCTGTCAGAAAAACAGTAGCTATAGTAAGTTTTAAAATGATACCTGCGCGCCTCCAGCCTGTGAATTTGCTCTTGTAAATATCCACCGTTACCCTTAAACTCCACCACAGTAAATTAAAATACAGTTGTACCTCGGCTCTCGAACTTAATCCGTTCCGGACTCCAGATCGAATTTTTCCCATAAGAAATAATGGAAAACCAATTAATTGGTTCCCGGCCCCCCAAAATTACACCTAAATATTTTTTTTTAGCAATTAAACACAAAATGAACAGGATAAAACAAAAGCATTTTTTTCTTAATGGCTTCCAAAACGATAAAGATCTTATCGCAACATTACCCCTGTCCGCTCCGCTCCTTCCGTGTGCCACGCCCCCTCCTTAACCTCGTGTGGGATCCCCATGTGATCAGCTGTTTCTGGTTGTTGTCATTAGTCATTAGTTTCAGTTTGTTTCCCCAGTCCGGTCATTGGGTGCGTTTGACTTGCTTACAGCGCTGGCTTAAAGCAACACATTCTGATCCTGACGTAATGCATTACGGTTAGATGCATTGCGACCTCTCACCCGGCTGCACAAACTGGAACCGCCTCCGTGACGACACACCTTTGCCCTTATTGGCTGAAGAGTTTAATTACACGCATGACGTTTGTATCCCAGGCAGTTCCGATGCGCAATCTGCTATTTCTCCCGAACGTAATGCAGTGAGAACTAGTTTTCAGTTAATTTACCTGGTAAAATACAGTTTAAATAAATGACATAAATGCTCTAATAGTACGCATAAGTTAGTGGTTTATTTATTGTTAGTTACTGTAATGTTGCGCTGCTTTATTTGGTTAATCATCCAGTCTGTGAAGAAGGCATTCAAGTAAGAATTGCATTGTAGTATGACTCATTTCCTGGCGCGTACAATTTATATTAGGTCAGCGTTCACGGTTCGACTTCTGATATTCAGATCGAGTTCTAGGTCAAACTGGTTTATTTGACTTTCAAGAAATTCGAGTTCTAGTGAGTTCGAGAACCGAGGTACCACTGTATTACACTTCCTGCTTACACTGTGACTTCCCCTGTTCCAAATATTACTCACTTTTTATCTCACCTTTTTCCTTTGTTGGGACAGCTCTGTCAGTCCAATGTTCTGTGTCACTGCACAAGACAGAAATACATTTCGGGGGACTGTCACAGAGCAGCTCTATTTGGGTTCTGTTCTCCAGGTTGCATGCTGGGTGAATAAGCTTGCCTTCAGATAAACTATGACAAGGGGATGTCTGTACGCTTTCCACATCATCGATAACATTTGTTGCCGGACTTCACTCTCTCTCCCTCTCTTTATGTCTTGGTTCTTATTTTTTCAGTTCAACTGCTATCGCTGTTCATTACTTCTGCATACTAAAGTCATCACTGTTACATTCCAGACTCATTGTAGAGTAAGATTGTTTGTGCTGTCAAGTTCCTCAAAGGGGGGGGGGGAAATCTATCTCTAGACAGGATAGGGTAGATGCTTTAAATGAACAAGATGATGTCATTACCTAAAAGTGCCACAAAACAACACAATAGAGTGATGAAGCCAAATAAAGGGCAAACAAATGACCAGAATAACTCAAAAATTCCTGACCCTACATGCTTAAACCATAATTTGACCAGCAGTCAGGCTTCTAGGGATAGGCTCCAGGGATAGGCTTCCAGTGATTGGCTTCAGGGATAGGCTTCCAGTGATTGGCTTCAGGGATAGGCTTCCAGTGATTGGCTTCAGGGATAGGCTTCCAGTGATTGGCTTCAGGGATAGGCTTGTAGGGATAGGCTTCCAGTGATTGGCTTCCAGCGATAGGCTTCCAGTGATTGGCTTCCAGCGATAGGCTTCTAGGGATAGGCTCCAGGGTTAGGCTTCCAGTGATTGGCTTCCAGAGATAGGCTTCAGGCACTTGCATTATATTAAGATGCAAAGGCAATTACATTGTTAGAAACTTAAAACCGATAATATTTCTAGCCACATGGAACTGTACCATCTATCACTTGTGATTACATCTGCCCTGTCCCCTCCTGCCGCTTGAAGTACTTGTATAAATGATTTATTTGTGTTAAAATCAGGGTTCGAATGAACCTTCTGATATGGATGCCTTATAATCTGTGGGTGAATGAACGGCAGCATGCTCTGTTCACCCGGGCTCTGTGGCTGGGTGCCCCTTCTCTACAGTGGTGGCTCATCCAAGATTGAGGTCAAGAACCACTGATCCAGAACATCTCGGCAGAATTAGTGCAGCAAGAGAACCAGGGGAAGGAAGCCTCTGGAGAGAACAGGACACACATCCTGCAGCTGGAAGTAAGCTGGACAAACATATTTGCTGTGTTTTGACAACCAAGAGCTTTTTTGAGTAAATGTAATTGAATAAAACATTCAAACAAGGGCATTTGGAGGACTGTTCTGGAGTTTCACCATATTCTCTGCTGGTTAAAAATTACCCTTAATCTATATGTTATTTTGTAATGTGTGAATCCCACACTTGTGAATCCCTGCCTAAAAGCAATCAAACCCTGTTAAAACTGTTAATTACAAACTGCAAAATACGTGTGGTATTAATGTATGGCAGAAAGTAAGAAATGGTTAAAGAGGCTGGAGGTAAGAAACCCGAGCCGAGGTGTCTGCCCCGTGCGTTACGTCGCGCTGGTGGGGCTGGGACAGGGTGCACATCGGTGTTGGTGATACCGCGTGTACGCGCCGCAGTCCCGGCTGCGGGCTGCGCGCGCTGCATACGGAGACAGAGCACGAGCGCGACCCCTGTATGTGGGTGTCGCTGAGTAACAGGGCTTTTCAGAAACATACTATTTTTTAAAATTCTTCCAAACGCTGGCGCTGGTCGGTCGGTACTTTGTGGATTTTGAAAGTTCTCAATAGGGTAAGTTTTTGAATATTTTTTCTCCAATAACAACCTTCAGCTGGAATGGGTCATATGACCACGAGTGATACGCATCAGTATGAACGGCGATGCAAATATACTTCTGAATTATGAAAAGAGACGAACTGATCAATTTAGATTCAGTTTTCAGACTATTGTGGAATATGAAAAATCCGACTACGTACGTATTACCTTTTAAATATAATTCACCAACACTGCTCGAGAGAAACACAAAAAAGTGACCAAAAAACAGAGATGCCCTATCTCTGAGATCTCCTATTTTCATTTTCCAACTTTTTTTTTTTTTTTAATCAGAGTGGGCACCTTTGCATTTCCATCAATGTGACCATTAGCCGTATTGTGCCTGTGACAGGTCAGAAGACAACACAGCACTACGAGTTATGATTTGTTATTTTGACCCTGAAAGCCCAAATCACATCAACATCAACAATGCAAAACATTAACGCAACGCAAAAACATAAAGACAGAATAGCAGGGCTGGCAGCGATCGGAAAAAATGAGACTTTGAAGTCTAAGGCCGCCGGGGTGTCTGGAATCATACTTGCTTTCTTAACCCTGGGAGAACATTGGGGCAAATCGGGCAGTTTGTGCCCGTGTGTGTTAATCCCGCGTGTGGTAATCCTACCTGTCATTGGTTTTGTAGTCATTTTACACAGATTATGACTCAGGAGTCTGACGCCTGAAAGAAATCAGAATCAGAACTCGCTTTATTGCCAGTATGAGCTGACATACCAGAATTGTTTGTGGTCCAGTGACATTTCACAGAACATTTCACAGAACACTATGTGCAAAAAATGCAATACAAATAAGAGTGCAAGTTGAAAGGATATAATATATATAATTATTATATTATTATATATTTTATATTACCTTTTCATATTAAGATGTCAGACAAGAGAGTAATTGTCCTTGGGTGAGTGGATCGCACCTAGGTGATGGATTACTGAGGTACTAGGTGAGTTTATTCAGGAGTGGAACGGCAGTGGAGATAGTATGAGGTCTGGGTCAGGATGACTTCAGATCTGCTTTGTGGAGGAGGTTCAACTGCACGACAACGTCTGGAGCTACATTACTGTTCCCTCTGATTAAGAAGACTGCAGCTTTGAATAAAGTTGCTTTATTCAGATGGTGGTGGTTTTCAAAATGAGTAATGAGTACACTGTCAGTAGTTGGTATGATACAGTCTGGTGGTCATCCTGCAGCATGTTCTCAGTGAGACATCGTAGGTGACTTTTTAGAAATGATCTGATGTCAACCAGCAGTTATTTATGCTTGAGGGAGAGTCGGCTCACTAGGAAAAACGTCCACGGAGGAAAACTGGTGAAGATCTGAGATGTGTCATCAACGTGTATCTATCAGGAGGCTGTACTCTAGAACAAACACCCTGGTTCAAATCATTTCAGAATCAAAACCTATTAAGAAGCTGCACCTTAATAAGTTCATTTTTATTCATTCATAATCTCTGGCTGCCATTTTCAGTTAGTAAATAACGATGTGTCTGTAAAATACCTTAAAAGATACTACTGAAATTAAAGCTGCTTTGCCTAGTATCTTAACAGAATAACCCAGGTCGAAACTACAGTGATGAACTTAAACTGCACTTCTGATTAATGGAACTTCGTATTTAAATCTGCAGAACTTTTGTGCATAGCTTTGCAAGAACATCCAATTTGTGTGCAAAAGAGCTGACTGTACAGCGGACATGAAAATGCACCGTGTAGTAAAAACACAGTGGATCAGAGCAAGCTGTATGTGTGTGTGTGTGTGTGTGTGTGTGTGTGTGTGTGTGTGTCCGTCTCCTGAGCTACAGTGGCAGAATTCCTAAAAGCCCGATCATACCCATGTTTGATATGTAGTGTGAGACCAAAAGCCTGCGCTTTCCTTTCCCATAAGGCATAGTAGGCTCTGGAATCTGTGTAGATACCATGATCAGGCTGGCTTTCTCGTTGTCCCATTTTTTAAGGTGCGGCATTTTATTTCCCCCCAGAGGAGCAGCTCACAGCAGGACCACATGGTCAGGTGGATGAAAATGAAGACTTTCTTCACAGTAGATTGTGTCGGTCCTTTATTTCTCAAACTATTGCCATGACATCTGAGCTCGTAGATAGTAGAGGATTCACAGAGAAGTGTTTACCCAGAACTTTCTGTGTCATGGCTGAAATTTTCCGTTCAGCCATATGCTGTGGTCACTCTCTGTGGTGAGGCCAAGTCGCACGTCATCGCGGGCAAGAGCTGGGCAGGCACCACGGCGGACGGACCGTCGGGATGTGCAGGGTGGTCTGCTGCCAGCCCATGGCGTCTGTGGGACCCAGTAGCGGATGTCCGTCTCGCAGTGGGATCCGGAGTGACTTCCTGAGTGCCTTGGGCCCTCCCCCGCACACGCTGTCTGCGCTCTGCTAGCCCGCAAGTTCTCCCACGACTTCCTGTGCAGACTCGTGGGAGCTGGCCCCCATCCTGTCAATCACTTCCCCTCTGGGCCACACCCATCTAGCCAGAGGGCTGCCTGAGTCACCTCAAGCATGGGGTGGCCGGGATGTGGCTGGGGGTGACAGGACAGAAGGGGGGCCACATTCGCAGTCCTGGCAAAAAACGTGGAAAGAGTGAGAATTTCTCCTGGGCTTCAGACAGGTTACTGTAATATGTTAGTACACATCTTCTGCTTTCTGCAAAGAAACAAGTTCTGCAGATCATAAAAGTGTCCGCGGTTGGGTTTTGTTTACCACGTTAATGTATATGAATATATTTTATTATTATTAGCTTGTGAAATTGGGTATGACAGTCATCTGTGGGCCTGAGTGTGCTATTCTTGTTTGTGTGGGTGTTGGCTACTGACTAAACGTTTGTTTATTTATCTCCTGCTCTGTTCCCAAATTCCTGGCCCTTCAGTTTGCTGTGCTGAGCCTGGCACCGTCCCACACCTCGCTGCTAGGTCTGGACGTGTTGCTCACATGTCCTGCTACCAAGGCCGGCCTCAGAAAATGTTCACTCACACGCACCCACGCATTTGAACCCAAGAACACACTTTGCCGAAAACAGACACAAAACACAGACGTTTCCACTGAGGCTGACGATGGTTGGGACTGGATATTGATTATTCTCTTAGGCTCTGTCTCTAAAATGTTCAGTGAAATGCTGCTGTGTTTTTTCTTGCAGTTCCGCGGCCAAAGAGATCCTCACGCTGTGTGCCATGTCTGCGATGGGCCTGCTTACTTTTCTGATACCCACACTGCTCGGCCTTCAAACTTGCGGTGAGTCCTCGCTCTGCGGAGCATGGGGCAGTCAAACATGAGGGGGTCCCCTGGATACACACACAGAACACCACCCCTCTGAATCAGTCATCCCGACAACGTGAGAGTGCCTCTGAATTAAGACAGAGCAGCAAAAAACATCTCACAGTGAACAGTCAACTTACAGAAGGCATCAAATAAGTTTAATGTATAGTGTGCCTTCAGTGCGGAGGATTTGCTGTTTGGACCAGAGGATGTATCTACTGTTTCACCTCTTTGGGGCACTTTGTGTAAGCAACCTCATAAAGAAAGATACCCAGCTGTATAAAAGGCAAGAGTCTACATATGTTGTGTGACTTTGAAATTACCTCTAAAGCTCTGGCCAGCGGCATCTGCTAAGCGGCTAAACACTGAGACATTACGTCGTCTTGTTGACTATCCCAGGATTCGGTTAGGCAGCTGTTTTTTGTCTTTCCGGTTGAGTTTTTGGGTTGAGTGGAGGTTAAAGCTTCTTCTGCAGAAATCCTCCTGGCAATGTGCTGATGGAAGCAGGGACTTTTCCACGATTGAGGTGACTCTCAGGCTCGCCGGGAAGCCGGGAAATACGAGCAGTGCTTTAATAGCACCCTTTGGCCTGGCTTGACAAACCATTTGCATAGTTCATTATGGACTCGCTGGTGCATGCTGGCGGTGGCTGAGCTGTCTGGGACACTTATGGATTCCATGACCAAGTGACACCCTGTTCCTCAGTGCCGTCACCTGCAAGGCCGTTTTGCTTGCTGGATGTGGTGACTCGTTCATGACATTGTACTGGAGCTACGGTTTATGGGCGAACAGATGCATGAAGTTTATATGCATATAAATAATGACTCTTTAACTGGGTACAATTTTAACCATAAAAAGACAGAGGTGGACCCAGAAGATTCTAAGTGTCATGTGTTTGGGTCCGGTGTTGTCAAAAGTCTTGGCAGTGCTGGGTAACCCTCAAACTCCAGAACAAGGGTAAAACATCAGCACCCGAGTGTAGGACCGTACCCACAATGCATCTGGGGCCTGATGTGTAACTGATAAGTGTGGGTTGCATATATCCATCTAATGGGTTCGGTAGTCAGACTCTTTCTGGTTTAATCATGTAGCTGTAGGGTGTTATAGCAGGGAGTTCTGGCACTCAGACACGTCCTGTTCATGTCCAGGTGAGTATGCTGGGACTCTGAAGGTTCGCTAAATCTGGATGACCTTTCACTGACCCCAGTGGTTTATTCCGCAAGGTGAGAGAAAGGGGAACTCAGTTCGGTGCAGGAATTCAATTTAGTCTCATTACTTCAAATCAGAGATGTCCAGTCTAATTTGATGGTGGCCAGCAAAGTGTCTTTTTAGAGCCAGCAGAGGGCTGGTTCAGAAGAAATTGCCTTTTGCTGCGATGCATGTGTGATGTGGAATCCATCCTCTCTGCCGTGTGGCCAGAATGTGAATCCCCAAATCTGCCAAAAGGCCACGTCCAGAGCCACCCCCCCCCCCCCCCCCCCCCCCCCGATGTGTCATCACCCCGCCGGCGCTCTCGCGGACCTTCCCCCCCCCCGATGTGTCAGCCCGGCGCTCTCGCGGACCTCATGCAGCATCTGTTTGCCATTGCCTTTTGCCTGCGGAAAAGCCCAGAGCCGTGTGCCAGGTTTGGACTTTGGATGCTGTAATTCATTAATGGGGTGAGCGGCTCCACCCCAGTAAGCAGAGTGCTGTTTGACGTGAGGCCCGGGGAATGTTGGTGTATGAGAGGGACCTGAACAGGCTTGGTGAGCCTTAAGCGGGTAATGCTGTGAGCCTCTTTCATTTCATTTCATTTTGGTCTGTCTCAATGTTGTTGCATTTCATGCCCTACATTCTGAGAAGCTTTCCATTCTTCCTGGTCCTTTCCCCCATCCTGCCTTCCTGGGCCTTTCCCCACCACTTCCTGGTACTTTCCCCCACCCCCACCTGGGTCTTTCCTATATCACTTCCTGGTACTTTCCCCCTCCCCTACCTGGGCCTTTCCCCACCACTTCCAGGTCCTTTTCCCCACCCCCACCTGGGTCTTTCCTATATCACTTCCAGGTCCTTTTCCCCACCCCCACCTGGGCCTTCCCCCCCACTTCCTACAATTCCCCAACCCCATCCTGACATTTAGCAGCTACTGACAGAAGTGAAGACAGCCCCGGCCTCTGCTCTGCTATCCCCTAACCCTGAAAGCCCGTGCTGCTCCCACCTCTTCAAGCCCTTTCTTGTTCGCTCTTTGCCCCGGGGGTGTGCGGACATTGGGGTGAGCTGCCAAGAAAGCTCCATCCACACTTACAAGTTACTCAGCGGATGCTAGCAGTTTTCTCACCTTTACTTAGTGTTTCGGTGTCCTTGTGGCATCCAGTAGGGTAATTAAGCTGTCATTGTAATCAACACTGTAATTTCACTTTAGCTCCAACAGGAAGCAGTGCTGCCAGGGCCTGGTGTTATGAGACCGTACCGTAACCTGCTTTTGTGGCAGTTTTCAATTTCATTCTTCTGGGTTTGTGTGAGGCTTGGTGTGAGAGCGTACACCCTTGGTTTTGCACTGTGTGTCAGCATGACAACGCTTGTGTATATGTCAGTCTCTGTGTCTGTGGCTCTTAATATGTGTTTTTGATCCCATGTGACCGTGGTCAGGTAACTGTGTGCACCCATAGTCCAGCCATGACTCTTGCGAGTGCTTGTGTCGCGTGATTTTGTGGGAGCATCAACCGTTGAATCAGATTCAGAGGCCGCGGTACTGCAATGCTACCAGCAGGTGGCTCCGTTCTCCTCGGTATGCGAGTATGGCATCAGTGCCAGCTTGGCGCAGGCATGTCTTTAAGCACATTTGTCCTGAGTTAGCTTTTAGCTTCGTAACACTCGGCGCCGTCCAGCAGCCCGCCGTGATCAGCGAGCAGCAGATGCTGAATCTCCCATCTGTCCCGCTTAGCTGGCTGCCCTGGTGCCCGCCGGTACCGCACCACACAGTTCCGCCTCGCTGGGGCCGGCCTCAGCCGCGTCCCCCCTCGGTGTGCCGATGGGCCGTCGCCGGCCTGCTGCCATCTGCAGCCGGGCGATTGCAATGGGTCAGGTGACGCCGGGGCCGGCCGGAGTGTCACAGGCGGCAGGGGAAGGTGTCCGAAGCCGGTGTGACCCCCAATCCGATTAAGTGAGGCAGAGCTCCCCGAGAACCCGCACTCACTCCCGGCGAGGCCTGATCTCACGCAGGGAGCCAATCAGAGACCAGCCTCTGCCCCGGATCCTTTCCTGATATTATTTTAAAGTGCCAGCTCAAAGCGGACCCCTGGCTTTCATTCCCTCTGCCCTGCTCCACCACCCTGCTCTTGAGTCCTCCACTGAAGCCAGGAAAACAATCTGATTACTCTCCCGTCTGCGGTGGCTGCTCTCGGCGTCTGCGCCTTGCGGGGGCCTCATTTAAGCCAGTAGAACAGGGGCGACTTTGACATATGCAGACCCCTTCTTGCCAGGCCCCCCTGACCCCTGTGCTGAGCATCAGCATCTGACACCCTAACAGATGACCAGCACCTGTCTGCTGCACTGATGTTTCATTCCAGTTCTTGCACTTTTTTCCACTTCAAAAGACATGAATAAGTTATTTTGGACTTTGGCCTTCACCATAGCAACTGGGACGTCAGGGGCTTAAACGCTGGCTACAGGCTGGGCACAGTGACACCCTGATAGCTGAACCTGCCCATCCCCCCCCCCCCAACCTCTCCATTACTCCCAGACCTTCTCCATCATCAGCAGCCAGTACTTTGGAGTTATGAGCGCTTCTGTCTTTAATAATCAACATGCCCCTGAATGCGGAGCAGGTGACACAGTGACGGATGATCGGTGACAGGTGCTGCTTGCGTTCGGGGACCTCAAAGGGACCCCTGTCCCTTTGTCACAGGATTACGGCAGAGAATGAGATGCCGTAGGATATAAACATCCGGTAAACAATGTTTGCTAACCCAGCAAGTAAGAACTTCTAATTTTTCTTGTCAGCGGAGGGAAGCAGACATTAATAATCGCTGGAGGTGATACGCTGTAAATTATTCAGGATTTGATGGCAGTCTGGATGGCAGGGATTTTAATACATTCCCAACTGACACAGATTCCCTGTTTGGGGGGGGGGGCTATGAGGCATTCATACTGCTGAGTCAATGACCTGTGATAATCAATACTGCCAGCAGGTGGCAGTGTGTCTGCAGCTCACTGAGTGGGTTACGGCGAGCTGAACACTCACGGCCTGACAGGGCAGTGTGGCGCGTATGGCCCTGCGTGAAACCGGGAGCTGTTAACTTCACACTGACCTGTGTGGGCCAAGCTGTGGAACAATCACACCGTCACGTCGAAAGCTAGGCTACAAGGGTCCGTCACAGTGGGCAGACACACAAATCCGAGCCTTTAGGTATGATCGTTTGTCTAGCTACAGAAACAGCCAGGCCAGTGAAAGCATTTCAGCAGCTTTACAAGACAGCTGTGGTTAGGGTTCTGGGAGTGGAGGGTCAAAGTGAGAGCGGCCTGGTATGGAGCTGAGCTCCCCGTCAGTGAAACCTGTCAGAAAACATCCTGCCTGTCTGTAAAGTCTGTCAGGAAAGGGGATGTCAGCTGGGAGCCTTAGACATGCCTGAGTGACATTACTGTCAAGCCTGCCTTTGTCCTCTCTTCTTCTCCTCTAATGATGTACAAACTGTTCAGCTTGAGGCCGCAGTCTAAATTGATAGTGAAAAGTCATCTAAACTGAAACTGACTCATCGCTGACCTCTTGTGGCTGACCTTGGTTCCGCCGCCGCAGTCTTTAAGCCGTGTGCTCTTTCCTGCTGCGTCGACCGCAGTGACAGATGGGCAAGGGGAGTCTGCTGCTGCCAGGGCCGGGCGGCACGGCATTCCCCCCACCCCCTTGCGGGGGCAGCTTCCACAGCCCGCCGGGCCCTCGGGTCCCGTCTTCGGCAAATCGAGTCATGTCTGGTGGCCCTTGCGTGTCTGCCCTCCCCCACTGCTCTAAGCGGCCAGCGCTGGGGACCGTCTCTGTGCCCAGGGTCCACCTCCTGAGACAAGGACATGACGTCTGCGTTCAGAAAGCCCTCATGGGCACTGTGGCTGTCGGCCTGCTAGTGACGGATAGTGTGGTGGGGGCGGGGCTACTGACCTGGGGTGCTTTCACAGTCTGCCTGTTTGATAACCTTCCGTGTCCTGTGGTTTACGGTGTTTGGCTGTGCATGCTGGGAAGGCGGTGGCGAGAAAACATATGAGGCAGGGGAGACCCTGCAGTATTATAGGGAAGGGGGGGTTGACCAGGGGAAACAGGTATCGACATTGGGGGGCATGTTTATCAGGGGAGTGGAATCAAATCTGCAACCTTTGGGGTGTTAGGCTACAGTTATCCATCCAACTAACTAGCTGAATAAACTGTAAATTTTATTAAATAAGCTGTCTCTCCCCAACCCCCACAGCTGGCTTTCAGGTGCAGGTCCCAGAGCTGCCAGTGGTGGCACTGTTTGGCCAGGATGCCACCCTGAACTGCTCTTATGGCCCCAGTGGCACGTCCAGCCTGTCGGAGCTGACGGTGTTCTGGCAGCTGACAGACAGCAGGCGGGTAGTGCACGGCTTCTGGGGGGGGCGTGACCAGCTGGCTGAGCAGGGGCAGGCCTTCACCAACCGCACGCGGCTGTTCCACGCCGAGCTGGGATCCGGCAACGCCTCGCTGCAGCTGCGTGCCGTGCGCGTCGCTGACAGTGCCGGCTTCACCTGCTTCGTGAGGCTGGGCATGTACAACAGCGGCTCCATGCTGCTGCAGGTCGCCGGTGAGTCTCTCTGAACCTGCAACCTTCACCGTCCTTATCCACATGATTGCTGGTTTACTCCATAACTAAAACCAGTCATTCAAACACATGAACTCTAACCACACATCCAAACTGGAGAAAAATATGGCCCTCGGCAGTCAGTTCTGTTTTGGGTCAAAAACCTTGAATGTCACAGGACATCCAGGTCAATGACTGACCAGGACAGAGAGCTTCGAATGGACTGTCCCACCATGAATAGCACCCGCTTATCAACCACATGCTTCTTTCTTTCTCTCCCATCGACATCGTCCTCTTCTGCTCTTACAGTCCATAGGCTCAAACATTTTCACATATCACATGCTACATTTTAAGTAAGAATCCTGTGTTAGACTCCTTGAGTGTTTCTCTTTGCTGAGGGGATGGATACATTGATGCCTTATGGACTGATTAAAGGTAAGGAATGTAACATACATCCATCCATCCATTTTCCAACCCGTTTGTCCTACTGGGTCACGGGGGGTCCGAAGCCTATCCCGGAAGCAATGGGCACGAGGCAGGGAACAACCCTGGACGGGGGGCCAGCCCATCGCAGGGTACACTCACACACCATTCACTCACACAGGTACACCTATGGGCAATTTAGGAACTCCAATCAGCCTCAGCATGTCTTTGGACTGCGGGGGGAAACCGGAGTACCTGGAGGAAACCCCACGACGACACGGGGAGAACATGCAATGATGCTTATTTTTAGCCATCATAGGCAACTAATCTGGCGGACTCAGCACCTGTGAGTGAGGCGGCGAATCGAAAGCTGTCACGTCTAAGGCGTGAGCGGCCTGAAGGGGCCCCCGTCTATGGCGTGAGCAGCCTGAAGGGGCCCCCGTCTATGGCGTGAGCAGCCTGAAGGGGCCCCCGTCTATGGCGTGAGCAGCCTGAAGGGGCCCCCGTCTAAGGCGTGAGCAGCCTGAAGGGGCCCCCATCTAAGGCGTGAGCAACCTGAAGGGGCCCCCATCTATGGCATGAGCAGCCTGAAGGGGCCCCCGTCTAAGGCATGAGTAGCCACATATCAAAGGGAGCTGACATAAATTCATTCAATCTCCTCCATCTCCGGCTGACCCCAGTTGTTTGCTGTGGCATGATTGTCTCTGGGAATGAAGGTAGTTGAGTGGACTGTCTCTATGTGGATTAAGCCCTCAGGGGAATGGAAAGCTGTAATTCCATCTGACGCAGCTCGGTTAGGATCCAACTGAAATATGATCAGTTAGAGTGTCCAGCTGTGTAAAGTCACTGCTAAAGTCTGACCAGTTAGAGTGTCCAGCTGTGTAAAGTCACTGCTAAAGTCTGACCAGTTAGAGTGTCCAGCTGTGTAAAGTTACTGCTAAAGTCTGACCAGCTGGGTAAAGCAACTTGTGTAACTGAGAGCCCTTTGTCCCTCTTTGCCTCTGGCCAGCACCTTTCTCTAGGCCTGTGGTGGACCTGCAGTCAGGCTTGAACCTGCGGCCAGGTAGCCTGGTGTCCCTGGCCTGCATGGCACACGGCGGCTTCCCAGAGGCCGAAATGCAGTGGCTGGATGGTCGTGGGCACACCCTGAATGATAACGTAACGACCTCTCAGGTGGCCAATGAGGAGGGCCTCTTCAGCGTGCACAGTGTCCTGCGGGTGGTGCTGGAGCCCAACAGCAACTACAGCTGCAGGCTGCGCAACCCACTGCTGAGGCAGGAGGCACATGCCTCCGTCACGATGACAGGTGGGTGTCCTCCATGCACTGTCATCGATCAAGCTCTTCCTGATGCATGTTTTGTTACTGGTTAGATATTTGCAGTCCTCTTGTTTTCAGCCGTGTTGTTTAACGACCTGCTTGCCGTCGTGATTTGCTATCAGATGTTTTTGGAGGCCACTCGCAGTACAGATTGATCAAATATAGTGTTAGTGCTTGGCATTGGAAGAAGAGCACAGTTACCTTCAAAGCCCATGTTCAAGTTTCAGTGCTTCCTGGTTGCTTTGGAGCATCTGTGGTAGGACCTCCTGGCCACGCTGGAGCGTCTGTGGTGGGACCTCCTGGCCACGCTGGGCCGTCTGTGGTAGGACCTCCTGGCCACTGGAGCGTCTGTGGTAGGACCTCCTGGCCACTGGAGCGTCTGTGGTGGGACCTCCTGGCCACGCTGGAGCATCTGTGGTGGGACCTCCTGGCCACACTGGGCCGTCTGTGGTAGGACCTCCTGGCCACCTTGGAGTGTTTGTGGTAGGACCTCCTGGCCATGCTGGAGCATCTCTGGTGTGACCTCCTGGCTACCTTGGAACATCTGTGGTAGGACCTCCTGGTCACGCTGGAGCGTCTGTGGTAGGACCTGCTGGACACCTGGCCGCCTTGGAGCGTCTGTGGTAGGACCTCCTGACCTGGGTTTTGCCTTCTCTCACCTTCCTGTTGCAGTTGGTCACATCGGTCAGTGAAACGGCCAATCAGTAAGGGACTTTTACACCCCCCCCATCACTCGTCTCTGTGTTGCTCTCCTGGTTAGAGGTGGCCGGGTGGTGAGAGCGAGACTTGGCCAGCAGCCCAAAGTGGAACCGAGGGGCTCTCCTCCACTGAGGGACACCTACAGGGACTGGCGTGATGGAGAAGCTTGCCTCTGCATGACGGCTGCTGTTTGGCCGGCAATGGCCTGTTCACCGCCATGGAGGTGAAAGAGCAGCTAGGGCTGAGTAAGGGTTCAGGAACGTTCAGGAAGTTCAAACAGGTGAAGAGTACCTGGCCTGTGAGCAGTTTAGACATCAGAAAAGCACAGGAAAAGCTGTGAGTGAGGCTAGTTGGGGGGGTGGTGGGGGCTGGCGCAGTGTCAGGGACCAGGGTCTCAGTGGAAAGCAGTGGGTTTGTTTGTATGCGTGATACGATCGGCTGCTTTGATATAGGAATGTGTTCATGTTGTTTGCAACAGCTGCTGTGTGCTTAACGTTTTTTCTAATTGCTTTCAATGAATGAGAACACTTTAACTGTTGATCAGGGGTGTGTGTGCCGGTCGTCCTTTGTGTGTGGCTGTAAAAACCTGTTATTTTGATGATGTGGGGACCATTTTTCAGGTCCCCACAAAAATCTGTGAATGCAAAAAAATGCCAAAAGTCTTTTGTTTGGTTACTTATAGTCAAGGTTAGGGCTGGGTAGGGGATGAGGTCGTCATGTTGGGATTAGAGTTTTCCACATAAAAATTAATGGAGAGTCCCCACACAGATATAATTACAAACCTGTGTGTGTGTTTGTGCGTGTGTTTGTGCGCGCTGAATATCTTATGAGTGTGTGTGTGTGTGTGTTTGCGTGTGTGTGCGCTGAATACCTTATGAGTGTGTGCGTGTGCGTGTGTGTGTGTGCGCTGAATATCTTACGAGTGTGTGTGTTTGTGTGTGTGTGTGCACACTGAATACCAATATGCGTGTGCGTGCGCTGAATACCTTACGGGTGTGTGTGCGTGGGTGTGTGTGAGTATGGTGCATACTTTGCACACATGTGATATTTTCTCAAAGGCTCGTTTATGTAAAAAACTTACTTAAATATTGATGTTGCCTGCCAGGCTGTCCTCTACAGAGTACCAGAAGGGACACTGAGGGGGAAATAAATTGGTGGGTAAAAAAAATAGCACGTGGACTTCTGCGAGATCCCACAAAGGTTTCGCGGGATCCGACGAAAGTCCATCTTTGTTTTTTCAACCATCGATTTTTTTCCCCTTCCATGTCCCTTCCGGGGCTCCGGAGTCCTCGCATTTTTCGTATTATTTTTGCTTTTTTGAGACTCTCTAATCTGATAGCATAACAGCCTTTTACACCAATTTTGATTTTTATTTAGGTTTTTGCTGCCCGGTATTTGCCATGCGCTAATGGTTCCTCTGCCAGCTCTCTTCCATGCTCCCCGAATGACCATCACACCACCTACTGCCATTATCATATGTCTTATCATATGACTGAGATGGGCATATTTCACTGGTCCAAAGAGCTGGTCTGATGTATTTTGTTCCAGCTGCATTATGGGAAATGCTGCATTGCATCGTGGGATTCACTGTAATAACACATCGAAGGAAGATGCCATAGTGCAAACCCAAGAAGGCTGCTCCTTTAAAAGAAAGAACGTGATCAGTTTTGTGTCAGCTGAGTCATTTTTGGCTCTCTCTGAGTTCACCGAGTGTGTGACACCTCGCACGTAACTTTGGGAGACCTTCTGAAGTGCTTCAGTGCCTGGGCCACAGCCAGATCCAGACTTTTTAAGAGGTTACCTAGAGGTACAGGTCACATGAGTGTGTTTGCCTTTAATTAAATAAAAGGCATGAAGTCTGTGTCCTTTCTGTTAGTGACAGCCTTGGTCACCATGACTACGTGCTTGGCTGGGAATACTCATATCAGAGTCCAGGCCCGCTCATGTTTCCCTTATTATGTAGGTCATTGCTGGCTTTGCCCCCATCGCCCAAACTCCCACATGTCCCATTGTGAGGTGTGTCCTGCCCCAAGCTGACTCTGACTGGTCAGGGGTGATGGGGAGAGTTGAGGGACCCATTGGGGTCGCATCCCCACTCCACTTCCTACGGAGAAATCCCATTTAGCGGCGCAGCGAGCTGAATAAAGCCCACAGCACGGTGGGCGCTTTCCTGCTCCCAATCCCCCTGCTGCGTCCTGGTGGCTCTGGTGCTGTGGGAATGCAGGCTCAGCACGAAACGTCTAAAGAGACGCCGTTAAATCCTATAAGAGGGATTTTTTTGGGGGGGGGGGGGGTGGGTGAGTTACTTTTGGCTTCTCGTTACTAAATCATATTAACCGCAGATTTCTGGGAAATATCACGAGGACAAAATGCCATTGAATACTTGGCCACACCTTCAAAGGCTTGTCCCCTCAGTTATTTATATTAATGTATATTATCCCTAAAGTCAATGCGAGATAAGGCTGTGAATTATTGCTCCACAAAGGGTATTTTTGTAACCTTTTGTAAATTGCTTCTGTACTGGTCTTTGAGGCTGTGGAAATCAATGCCTGACCATACACAAAGGAGCATTGTCTTGCACAGTAATGTGTTTTCAATTAGAGGCGGCTCAGAGAGCCGGCCTTTGCTGCCGGAGGGTTAAGCACAGAATCCAGCGGACAAGTGCGAAATGGAGGTTAAGCAAGGCGGTCCCCTGGCCATGCGCAGACGGGAAGCGAGGCTCTCAGGGCTGCTGGCGCGCGCTGTGTCCGCTGTCATCTCCTAACGGGGGCTTTTATTAAAGCGACCTGTGTGCTGTGTGTCTGATATTCCTTATTCCATTGATAAGTCGAAGGACCAAATGTGAGCAGTGTCTCTCTGGATTCTTCCTCACCCTCCAAAAAACAGCTGCTGGTATTCCGCTTTCTGTTTTTATTGTCATTTTATTCTTAGTTTAGTCTTTTTAATACTGTTTTGTTTTTCTTGGTTTTGCATGTTTCCTTTCAGGAATTCAGGAAGCTGGTGGAAAAAGCGTTTGTTCTCAGAAGTGCAGGGTATGATTGTGTGATGAGTGAAATCTGAAACTTGAAAGCTGATTGGTAGAGATGCACCCATTGGTAGAAATGCACCGATTGCAATTTTCTTGGCCAATTTCCGATGTATTGCAAGTGTGACCAGCCGATGCAGAATTTTGCCAATTCCAGTTTTCTAAGAACTATAATTGACAGCATATACAAACAAAAATCAACTTTTCCTCAATGCAAAATTTTATTCAGCTTTTAATTTCATAATAAAAGAAATAGTTAAACTTTACAATTTCTCCCAAACTGCACTAAGTTACACGATCTTCTCTCACTGAAACAAGTCTCAAAATAAAGTGCTGTGTGACTGGAAAGAGGTACAAATAACAATTAACTGAAAATGAGCTGCTGTACACCCAGCTCCATCTGACATATTTTACTTTACCAGACAAGAGCAGGTGCAAAAGATTTAAATAACAAAACATATGTCACTTATATTTTCCAGTATGTTTAATTCTTGATCAGGGGACCAGATAACTTCAGAAGATGAGCTTGTCATGGTGTACCCGAAAGAAGAGGAACCCTTCTCAGAAGATGAGCTTGTCACGGTATACCTAAAAGGAGAGGGGCCCTTCTCCTTCTCAGAAGACAAGCTCATCACGGTGTACCTAAAAGGAGAGGGGCCCTTCTCCTTCTCCGAAGACAAGCTCGTCACGGTGTACCTAAAAGGAGAGGAGCCCTTCTCCTTCTCAGAAGACAAGCTCGTCACGGTGTACCTAAAAGGAGAGGAGCCCTTCTCCTTCTCAGAAGACAAGCTCGTCATGGTGTACCTAAAAGGAGAGGGGCCCTTCTCCTTCTCAGAAGACAAGCTCATCACGGTGTACCAAAAGGAGAGGAGCCCTTCTCCTTCTCAGAAGACAAGCTCATCACGGTGTACCTAAAAGGAGAGGGGCCCTTCTCAGAATATGAGCCCTTGGCGATGTACCTGAAAGGAGAGGAATCCTTCTCAGAAGGCAAGCTCATCACGGTGTATCCTGAAGGAGCACCCTGGTGCCATTTGGAAAAAAAAGAATCCATTGTATGGTCTGTGCAGGCCTGCATGAGGAGAAAATGAGAAATGTGTTTTTTTTATACGATAGCTTGAAGCAGAAAGACATTTTTTTAAGAAATTATGTTGTTATATAATCTGCCAGAGATACCGTGATGCATAATACACACTGAACGCTGAACTTTCCCTAGTTCACTGTAATTTTTGAGAGATCTGAAGATGTTTTATAATCTTTTTTTTCCGCCTGCGTTTGCTTTTTTGCTCCGTCGGAATCAAGAGAGGGAGCGGCAATCAAGAACGAGTCTCGGTGAGGAAAATGAGCGACTCGCCCAGGTCTTTCATCTCCTGCTTCTGTGGACATCGGCCAGCCTTTCAGGGTCTTGGGCCGGGTTCTGCTGGGGGTGACTGGGGGGGGTTGGGCGGGGGTAGGTGATAATTAGAATCCTTATTCAACAAGTACAAGGAATTTATTTTGGTGGAGGTGATAGCATGATGTAAACAATTCAACATATAATTAAATATATAATCAAGAGAAAAGTACAAAATAACAATAAATAGAGTAAAATAGAAATAAAGATGTGCAAAAAGTAAACATTTAAACAAACAAATAAATTGGGGTAACCAAATGTATGGAGCAAACAGCTTGGGCAATATCCAAAGGTGCTTCAGAAGGCAATAAGAACATGAAACTTGTTGAGTAGCTGATTAGATGTGAGTCTTCTGAGTCCTCCCTGTCCCAGACAGCCCCGCTTGCTCTGCACCGCACCTCCTGTTTCTGCTCCTTCCCAGGATACCTCTCTGGGAGCCTAACTCCTCCTTTGCTGCCAGTTTGCTCCATAGCGCTCCTGGCCTGGGTGACAGTGCATGGTCCCCTGACAGCTGTCAACGCTGATAGTCTCCAGTGTGCGATTTGCCTCCGGTGCTCTGCTCTCCTCTCAGAGTTAACTGAATATCAGGAGTTTCTGGCTAATTATAACATCCACAGTTTGTCGCCACCTGGCTGGAGGTTTGAAAGAAAAGGACTGTGACATCTTAATGGGCAGCCCCCCAACACCAGTGTGCAAAACGCCCTCAAGTTTTTACAGCTTGAAAGGGACCAGATGTGTTTTTAATGCAGCTCCGGGAGACGGAGCTTCCTTGCAGGGCCAGGCTGATGGGGTCAGACAGGTATGCATGGTGCAGCTCATTCCGGAGACCGCCCCCTGCTGGTCACATCTCCACGTGCCAGCCTTCCCACACTAAAACGTGACTTGGCAAGCTAACAAGAAGCCCTCTGTCTCTTTACTTTAAAATCTGACACATTTAATTAAATATCCTACGGCAGATTCTTTTTTTCTCTACAGCATAGGCGATTGTAGGCCGTGGGTACACCGTGATGAGCCACCTTCATCCCCAATATTTTTCTAAATCCATTTAGCTATTTGTCCTGTATTCGCTGACCCCCTAAGGGTCAAATCCTGGATTGGGCCCTGCCTGTAAGGAAATTCTCATACACATTTAGTAAAAATCTTAGTTGCCAAATTTTATTGTGGGAATCCTGAACACCCGAACCCCCCCCCCTCCCCGCTTTTAATCATGAATTAAGGGTCTAAGGGTGAAATCCTTTGAGAGGGGGGGACCTTCTGAGGCCATCGTTTCTCCTACCTGAATGATGGCTTCCAACCTTAGCTGTGGCTCTTTCATCACCCATTTAGGTTCTTTGTCTTTATCTTCCTACCCCAAAACGGTCTCCTGGCGGTCAGTAGTGTCCTCAGATGAAGCCCCTGTTTGATCCCGGCTTCCTGTCACATGGTTCTGTTAGCCGTTCTGCCTGGAGCAGGTCCTGTAGTAGGGCAGTAAACCTTTTCCCCTGGCTGTAGGACTTTAGAGCTGAAGCCGTCTGAAAAAGCAAGAGGAGATATTTCAAAGCCTGCTGATGGGACAGAAGACCTGGCTCATCTGTCTGTGTGTCCCAGTGCACGCGGCCGAGCGCCCCGTCCTGCTTCGACATCATCTACGTCAAAACAGAAAGATGAGAGCAGACAGCCCCCCCCCCCCCGGTGTCCCGAGCTGTTGGGGCCTCCTCCCTTTTCACACAGGGGTTAGATGGGTACGTTTACCCTGTCAGATTCAGCGGGCCTGGCACTTTAAAGGGGCCACAAATTCTACTATGGGGGCCCAAAGGTGATATTTGGCATTTCTATCAATGCCCCTACGTTTACATACCGGTATTTCATCACTCTCCTGCAGCTTTATCAAGCCAGGTCATCAATAAGTTGAAAGTAATTTACCCTAGAGAACCCTGAACAAATGGATGTGGCTGGTCTCATTCATCGATGTCCCCACCCCTTAGAATCGCTGGTCTGCTCTCCATCTTGCTACCCACCACCAGCAGAGGGCACCAATCAGGTTTTTATGTAACCTACTAAATCAGGGGTGCCCAACTCCAGTCCTGGAGAGCCAGAGCCCTGCACATTTTTGGGTTTCCCCTCATTTAACACACATGATTCAACTCCTTGTGCTAATTACCACACAGCTCTTGAGCTGAATCATTTATGGTGGAACAGGGAAAGAACTAAGCTACACAGGGCTCCGGCCCTCCAGGACTGGAGTTGGGTACCCCTGCACTAAATGTTAAGATACCTCTCCAGTGCACGTGTTTGCTAATGGAAAGTCTCACTCTTCACGCGACTCTGGAATTGCCAAAAACAGTCACATGTCTCATTATACATTTACATGCTAGGGATGAGGATTCAGTGTGATGTGTGCCATTTTCCATCTCGTGTGAAATTGCCGTTTCCAGATTGGGATGCTTGGATGCGGTCGGGCAGGTCTGGGGTGAGTGAAATCTGCTCAACCCACCAGCTTTTGCTGTTCTCAGACCTGGCTGTGTAAGGCTTCTGGCCCTTAAATGAACAACATGCCCCCTCAGATGGAAGCCAGTTAGTCCATGACTGTGACGTGGTTGCAGGGTGCTCTGCTGGTACCGTGTGCTCGCCTGTACCAGTGCTGAGTGCTCACCATCGGTGTTTACCGACCTCACACACTTACAGGCTTCTCCATGTTGGCTTGTGCTGTTCAGGGCACCGCTGTGCGTGACCTCGGGCTCCTTCCGCCTTGGCTGAGCACCTCTCACGTTCAATGATTAATGTGTTTCAACAAGGCACATGTGGAAATATGTCATCAAGGTAGCGTGAAAGTGCGTGGGTGTGTGTGCGAGCTAATGATGTGTTTACTCCTGTCTTGGGGAGATAAGTGGCAGACAGGGTCTGCAGAGAGGTGGGGCTCCTTCTCAAGAGAGGCAGGGCAGTGGAGGGTCGAAATTAGCCTGCCGGGTACAGGAACAGTTACGAAAGAACATTTTGTGGCTTTAATATCAAATCTTCAGCCAAGGTCTGCCAAATGAAAATATACCAGAGCTAAGAATCCCTCAACAGTAATATTTGGTCACATAAGTAACTAAGGATTGGGACGGGGCATATATTTTTGCCCCCCTACATGCCTCCTACCTCCAAGGCTGCAGCTTGAGCAGGGGGGGCTGGGGAACAGGAGTTTATTGGGGGGGGGGGGGGGCTCCAAAGCAAAGACGAAGGGAGGCGGTAGGGAAACAGAGTCATTACAGACAAATCTATCTCTGAAGAAAAGAAAACCACATCATCAAACAACGGCAGGAAATTGTGAGCCCCAGGGCCTCTAGGGGCCGGCTGCAGAAATGATAGCTGGCAGTGGATTTGTCTTTATCAGGCTGCCCTGGGGGAGTGAGGAACTATGGCGCCATCTTGGTCCCACCACACAGGCTAACGCACCCACAATTCCCTATTAGTCTAACAGTCACATTAGCATTAGCAGCGCTAATAACTGCTTCGGTTGCTATTGTTGTTTGGACTAGGTAATTTTTACTGTAATTTGATGGATCGGTTTGCCTTTCTCAGATACTGTTGACATAGCTGTGAGTGATTTAACGAGAGTGTGGCTGAAACTGTATTAGAATGGGAGTGACAGGTCTAATCACCTTACACGATGAATGCTTAATATTTCCTGAATATGTGCGATAAACCTGACAGGAAAACCATCAAAAAATGGCGTCAGTGCTGATGTCCCCCCTGCACCCCCGTGAGGAAGCGGCTTTCTCGCTCGCCCTCTCCTCCTTAATCTTGCCGTACCCTGATCATTTCCCAGCGGATGCAGGACCCCACCCACGTTTTCAATCAGTCTCTCCTCCCGCATGAAAGAAGACGGGTATCTCTCCTTTTTGGAAAAGTCGAAAAGCACCGCCCTCCCTCCCAAAAAAAAGGAGAGAAGATGATTGCTATTGACCTCCTCCAGCTCAGAAATATGGTCTCATTTTCCTCACGGCCCACACTGAGGTTTTATAAACGCTTCATCATTTTTCACCAACGCGACTCCATTTTTGGATTTTTTTTTTTTCCAATTATCTTTCCAGAATGGACTGTGCAAGGGGCTGTGTTTGTGCTGTAGTCTGGCGGCCTGGTGCTTGTTTAGTGAGGCTGCTGTTTGTGATCCACCCCCAAGTTCTCCGCAGAGCCCTGCAGAACCCAGGTGCTGTCTGACCTCTCACTTCCGATTGCCCGTTCTGCTTACCTCACACATATGCAGGGTCGCTGTAATCAATGGGTTTACCCGGACAGAAGCCCAGGGACCTTCACTAAAATAGGGCCTCAACTAACCTAAAAATGAAATTTTAAACCCCGCCCCCCCCATTGAATAACTGTTACATTATAGAAAACAGTAGGGGGGCCACTGACAGCTCAAACAGCCGAGTGGCCCCAGACCACGTCGTCACGCCTCTGCACAAACACACTCAGGTAAGCCTGGGAGCTTATCGCTTTCATCAGAGGGCGAGAAAAAATGGCTTTGGCTGCATAATTCTGTTGTGTCTGTGTGGAGAGAGTTAATCCCCTTTAAATCCCCTTGAACGGGATGTGTGCCAGTACCTTTGTGCACATGTGGGATGAACATGCAGAAGCTTACTGGAAGTGCAGTCTTTTGAAAGAGGCACGATGATGATGCCGGTGAAGATTGTCTGACGTACGGAGCATTGAGTAATTTGGAAGTGTGGTGTCCCTGACACATGGCGTGCTCTCCCCTGCAGCTCAGGGGCCGGCTTTCCCACTGGTGGCACTCTGGGCAACGGTGAGCCTGGCCGTCTGCCTCGTGGGCCTCCTGGTGGCTTTGGCAGTCATCTGCCGGAGAAAGATCAAGGAGAGCTGTGAAGAAGCAAGAGCAGGTAAGGGTTGGAGGGGAGTCTGTACGGGAGTCTGGTACCGAAACTCACTCAGTCCTCAGGATAGGGGAACATTTCTGTGGACTTTGTGAGTTTCTATAATTTAACAGAAGTTCTTCAGTGGATTACATGAGGACTGAGTGAGCTTTGGTTCCCAGTACTGTAACATATGATGAGGAAGCCTGACTTCAGTTTACTGACGGCCTCATCTCAAAGCTAACAATACAAAAACAACACAGACTGAGTGAGTTGTGGGATTTTGCTCTTCATTTGCTCACAGTGCTCACTCACTGCAGTTCTGAAGGGCAGGAGTTATTAGCTGATAATGAGCTGCTATACATCAGCTTGCTGAGCTATAAGCAGAATGATGACAGACGTAATGTGTTGCCATTCACTTAAATGGAGCAGCTGAGGTGAGTCTCGATGGAGGCCTGACTGTTCACTTTTCACCATCAGAGGCCACGCAAGGCCTTTCGTGCCTGTTTTCTGCAAGTTTGTGATGCTGTGCTGCCGGTATCTGTGATGGTGATGTCTGTGCTGAGTCTGTGCACCCAGAGTAGGAAGCTAGATTCACTGGGCTATTTAATGCGGGACATTAAGGATTTGGACACGGGCACGGAATTCTAAAACGTGTGCGTGCGAGGCGGATGGAACCATCGGGTTGAAACAAGTTCGTTAAGTGAGCTTTAATAATTATCTCCAGCATAAGTGTGTGATGAGTGGGACAGAAAAGACTGGAAGAACCTGCCTGGCTGTAATGAGTTTCTTTAAGTGGAAATTACTTTACATAAATAAACGGGGCTGACCTCGTGAGGGCCTAGCACTTTTAAAATGAGATCCAAAGCAGGTACAAAAGAGGATTTAATGGATGAACACAGGTAAAGGAAAAGACAAGGAAAATACAATGGACAATAGAAGACTGTCATGCACAGACGCTGCAGATGTGTCTCCCAGCCCTTGGATGTGTTTTGTGGCAGGTGCGGCTTGCTGCCTTCTAATTCCATTGGATAAAACAGCACACAGGTCGCTGAATCTGGATGCCGGAGGTTCTGGTGCCTGGCGGGCTCCTGCTGTGATACCCTCAAACCCAGATTGCTCTGGGAGAATGTCCAGCTGGACAAAATGGGTCGAGTCTTTAGAAAAAAGCATCAACTAAGCAATCAAATTCAAAGAAATGCCTGCTGTGAGCAAGCAGGGTGAAGCTGCTGCCCTTCAGACTGGCTCCTGAGGCTGTGCTGCAGTGACACGCTCCTCCATTCTGCTGTCATTTTCAGCATGGAGAGGAGGTGTGTGTCCGTGTAGAACAGAGCGATCAGTGGTCTTTGGCCCTTCACCTCCAGCACGTGCCCTTGGTTCAGATCTGCGCCTTGCAGCCGTGAATGTCCCTTAACTCTTACAGTAAATTTCGTATTAATCATTTTTATATGAGTTTCCATTATTTCTAATGGGAAAATTCGCTTTGATATACGAGCGTTTTGGATTACAAGCGTGTTTCTGGAATGATTATGCTCACAATCCGAGGTTTTACTTTCTCTCTCTCTCTCTCTCTATATATATATATATATATATATTGCATTTTGTGGAATTCCCATGTCTCATACCCGCTTTTGGGTTCACAGACAGCCACATCGGACGATGGCCTATGAATCGTGTTACAGTGTGTTTGTGTGGAAACCCTCAGGAATAAATGCCACACTGAGCCTTACGTGTCATTAATCCTGATCTCCGTGTCCTCGTTTAACATGCATCCCCCTGTTAAATGACTGAGAACATATCCTATTGTCCAGCATCCATGGGTTCCTGCTGCCTCCCTGCTGTCTGACACCAGCTGACATGCCGTCTCTCAGGGGTGTCAGGCTAGCGTCCCACTGCCGTATTCACGCCTTTCTCACGTCTACTTTACGAGTCCAGCCAAGCCGACATGGGCCATCACCTCCTTTACCATTGCTTGTTGTCAGCAAAGAATAGAACAGTGATACTTTACTCATTCGCTTGAAGAAATTGTGTTTCCACCATTTTCTCTTTCTCTCCATGAGACACAGATACACAGGTGGGCAGGGGTGTAGTCAAAAATTCTGAGCCCCCTGACAAAAACATTTCCTTGCCTCCCCCAGCAGATTTTGCTGCATATGGAGGGAGGGGGTCGACAGTACTTTTTGGGACCCCTATAAAGTTTTTGTGGCTTCAATCTGAATGGGGTCTCCATGCCGCTGCAAGTGATAGCGAATTTGGCACGACAGCACAGGGTCAGCCAACGCCCCTGGTGTTAGGGGCCTTGCTCAAGGTCGCAAGGACAGGATCACTCTGCCGGTCATGGGATTTGAACCAACAACCTTTTGATAGTGCACTAAGACCTAACCTTCTCCGCCACAGACAGCCCCTTAAAAAGATGGAAAGACGCAATAATTAACCTCTTTACTTAATCAAAAAATTGTCCAATTGTGGGCCATCGTCCTCATCGCTGCAACCACAATAGAGAATGCAGAGCGGCCGGTATAGGAGAAGGCAGCCACAGAAGGCTGTCTCTGCTGGCTCTTTCCATGTCATACTGTGAGAAAGCAGGTAACCCAAAGCTCCTGGTTAGCTGGCGGGAATGGTCTGTCCGGAATCCAGGCGAAAAGAACAGTGGAGATCGTCTCATGCATTATGTGTTTTCTGGCTCGTCAGAGAAAAGCTCTCCAGTGTCCCATGGAGCAAGAATAAGGGCACTTTTCCACCACACCAGGTACTGGACTTTTGGTCTTCAGAACAGTACCCAAGTCAGCGGTACTACTTGTATTCATTTTCCAATGGTAGTGGTGCAGAATTACATCATCACAATGCATGGCGGGTTATTTTATGCTGGATTCAAAAACAGCTCTTGTAGTATATTGTAGGGCTAGGCGATGTGCGACATTAATATCGAAACTGCATGTTATGCACAAGCAATTCTCACAACCCAGGCTTTTTCATACCTTCATACTGTCTACTATTATACGTATTATACACATAATATGCATTATAATGAATATTAAATTAATATTATAATTAACATTAATATATTTATTACATGTGTACAGTCTTTTCAAAAAGAATGTTATTTTCCAATATTGTTCCAGTATTTTGAAATCTTAAAAGTCTGGCAAGCATGTGGGGGTGGGGGTGGGGGGGGGGGGGGGGGGGGGGTGGGGGTTCAGTTTCACTAAAACATTTTTACTCTGTCATAGGAACTTAGGAAATAAAACATAGCGAGCTTTGTAATTTATATAATCATAATCATCATAATCATTCATTATCACTCATAGACACATTTATGAGAAATTTAACAAAATGAGTGAGGAAAGTGAACAAAAACTGGTCAGGAAAAGACATTCGCCAGTCTTTGTATGGAAATATTTTGGATTCCACAGAGATGATATTGAGCAAAATCAAATGCTATACCGACACAACTCATGTTAACACCACCGACGTATTTGATGGGCACTGTTCATAGGTAAGTTCTACTTGACTATAGTTTATTTTGGGTAATTTTTCATTTTTTTGTTGCTTTATTGCTTTCAATATTTGTTGAAAAAAATTCACATTGCCATATCTGCATTTTTTCTAATATCATGCGGCAAAAACTTTTTTTCTTGTCATGCCAACCAGATTTCAGTGAATCTGTTCTTCTGACCAAATCAACAGTTAAAGCTTTTTACACACATTCACTTTTACTTTATTGTTGTTTTCTGAGTTTGTAACTATGCTTTTTCAAAATGTCAGTGATACTTTATGTTTTCAAAGCAGGATATTTACATAACCAATCAACAATAAACAACTGCAAGTCCTATCCCAAAGTACCGCAGTATCTAATGAGTGCTGCAGCTGGTTTGGTAGTTTGGTGTAGGTATTGGTACTAGACCAGAAATCAGTGGAAAAAGGGCAGTACTAATTCTTCAGTACCAAAAGTTCAGTACCTCTCTTAGTGCCCTAAGAGAAGCTGTTATGCACACGCACACACACTCACATATACACACACACACATGCACACACACACCACCAGAATATCACAGAGAGAGATGATGAATCAGAGGTACCTCACAATATTGTAAAATCTGTCAGAGCAAGAGTCCCCTGAACAAAGGGCTTTGCTACTAAGTATCTTTATAAACAAATGAAATACAACTTACCATCTGTCAGCAAACTTGTCAGCTAGTTGTAATACTTTGAAAATTGATGTGCTAACAGGTTCCACCATTCTCGTTGCCATTACTGAAAATTAACTGTGTTTTGTGAATCCTTTGTTTACGGCTGACCTTTCCCCAAATCCGTGAGTTTTCTAAAATGTAATTCATGGGATTTATTGCCAGATGGAGCCTCAGAACAGCTAGACATGTAGGGAATAAGCAAATATAAAAAACAAGGTGGGGGTGCAAATGAAAAAGCCAGTGTAAAAGCTTGACATTTGAATGAATCAAACTGTGTATCTATAACCGAAGGGCATTCGGAATACAAGTCTGCCTTTGTAACCCGGCACTGTGCGGCAGACGGGGAGGTGGCTGGCAGTGGGGGCCCGGAAAGGGAGAGCTGAACAGAGAGCACGTATAGATATTTGAAAACCAGTTTTTCGTTGTTTCGTTTTTCTCTTTTGCTTTCGTCACGTTTCTACCAGTTTATTTCTAAGCACAGTCCAATAAAAAAAAAGCATAGTTTACATTTTTTCTGTATGTTGTCATGTATAAAAAGACACAAAATGAACACTGTAAGCAGACTACTTGATTACTATAAGCAAATTATTTAAACAGTATTTGTACAGGGATGATAATGTCCTGAGCTTTGTCATCCATATAAGCAGTTGATCTCTATAAGCGGGTCCCACTGTGTGTGTATTTCTGTAAAGAGTAAATGTTATACCAGGGTAATGTTTGCTGTGGAATGTGTATATTTAGCATGTGACTGTGTTGTGTAACTTTTTGGCTCCCCTGTGTGTGCCGCTGCTAGTTTTAAACCAACAGTGGCTGATAATAATAAACAGAACAACTTCAATTTTAAAAGAGCTGTCATCTCCCTTATTAAAGTGACTCAGTCATTTGCCACAATACCTTTATTTGTGCTCTGTGGGTCTGCTGTTTCGAAAACATACTATGCCCCCTAGGGTTCTGACATGACATAGAAAATGGCATTGTTTTAAATATGCAGCAGATTGTTTTCACTGGCCTGTTCAATTTCGTTTTGTCCGGATGTCGTTTGAAGTATACCACTGGCTTTCGGCGGAGACACAGTGACTCCAGTCTGTTCACCCCTGTAATGGTTCCTCTCTTCGCAGCTGCAGAGGGTGACCCTGAAGAAGCTGAATCCAAATCAGGTGAGACACTGCAAACCCTCTGGTTTCTGGGATTATTGGCGGAGGGGTCCCGATCCTTTCAGAAGTGTGCTGCAAACATGGAGCGCATCCCCGCTAGGCCTCCCAGAAAGATGCTCCCCACGCTTTTGGCATTTTTACAATGGGCATGAACTGCAAAGGTGGGAAACCATGGCGCCTGCGCGTGGAGGGGGGGGGGGGGGCGTTAAATCAGCCAAGGCAGGTCAGATGGAGTGGGCCAGCCTGCCTCATCATTGTCTCATCTTCTGATACGTGCTGTAAGGATACTGTACGTCTACAGGCTTTTGGTTGGACTGGCGTTATGAAGTTATGAAGCACTGGCAGGTAGACAGTGCTGATCCCACTGCCCTGTTACTCATGCTGTTTAAGCATCACTTCAGGCTTTAATAAAAAGAAGGACGGCAATAAGAAACAGGCTCGCAGCCACAGGGAGCGTGAAGGTGCCACGGGGGAAAGTCTCACACTGAATCTCACGCGTTTCACGCTTCTGCTTCCCTGCAACCTGCACGGCTATGCGACTTACTTCCTACAAGCCCCCCCCCCCCCGCCCCACTCCGTGTTGCCACCAGCGCATGGGGGTGACCTCACAGCACCTTTCTCCTGCCACACCTCCAAACAGGCTAGACGGGAGCCCTGCTGGCCGACACTAACGGCTGCTGATGGGGCCTGTTAACACCCCTGCTTTCCTCCCTGTCCTCTTCTGATTTTTTCATTTCTTCCCCAACATCACATATTCTCTTTTCATGCTGTGGAGGTACAGTGACTGCCAGGCTTTTATCCCTGAAAGCCCGCACCATTCTAAGCAGCCACTGTGAGGCGCTCTCCTCTCTCAGCTACTCAAGGACAGCTGTGCGCCTGGCCATGTGTCTTTAGGTGCATTGGTGGAACCACATATTTAAACAAACATACCTGGATGGCAGAGTGAATTAGCAGAATTTAATTTTGATGTTTTTTTGGACAGATTGTCCTTAAATATCTTTTGAAGAATGTTAATGTTAAAATACCCTATTTGGGGGTAAACTAGCAACCACGCATAAACTTTGCTCCTGTATATCTTATGAGTCTCGTCCTGCTCCCTCCTCCCATCTTATGAGTCTCGTCCCGCTCCCTCCTCCTATTTTATGAGTCTCGTCCCGCTCCCTCCTCCCATCTTATGAGTCTCGTCCCGCTCCCCCTCCTATCTTATGAGTCTCGTCCCGCTCCCCCTCCTATCTTATGAGTCTCGGCCCGCTCCCTCCTCCCATCCTATGAGTCTCGTCCCGCTCCTCCCCTCATCTTCTGAGTCTCGTCCCGCTCCCTCCTCCCATCTTATGAGTCTCGTCCCGCTCCTCCCCTCATCTTATGAGTCTTGTCCCGCTCCCCCTCCTATCTTATGAGTCTCGTCCCGCTCCCCCTCCCATCTTATGAGTCTCGTCCCGCTCCCCCTCCTATCTTATGAGTCTCGTCCCGCTCCTCCCCTCATCTTATGAGTCTTGTCCCGCTCCCCCTCCTATCTTATGAGTCTCGTCCCGCTCCTCCTCCCATCCTATGAGTCTCGTCCCGTTCCTCCCCTCATCTTATGAGTCTCGTCCAGCTCCCTCCTCCCATCTTATGAGTCTCGTCCCGCTCCTCCCCTCATCTTATGAGTCTCGTCCCGTTCCTCCCCTCATCTTATGAGTCTCGACTCGCTCCCTCCTCCCATCTTATGAGTCTCGTCCCGCTCCTCCCCTCATCTTATGAGTCTCGTCCCGTTCCTCCCCTCATCTTATGAGTCTCGTCCCGCTCCCCCTCCTATCTTATGAGTCTCGTCCCGCTCCCTCCTCCCATCTTATGAGTCTCGACTCACTCCCGCCCACATCTTATTTTTTAGTGCAGTGACAATTGTCATTTTTGATTTGCTTGCATTTTCAGTGAATGTCAGTGTACTCTGCCCCTTTGAAACTGAACACATTTGGCGTTTTAGCCCTAAAGTACCAGACTTGCTCCCAGTGTATAATAGCACTTTCTGGAATTTGCCACAAGGAGCAAAAGGCAAGTGGTTCCCATTGTGGTCATATACACTGTAAACTACCAAATCTCTTATTTCCCCTACTTAGTTTGACAGTTTTATATCCACCTTTCCTTAAGCAGGTACTTACATCCTCAGGCATTTTGTGTTGGTTCTGCCATCATTAGCTGAGCACTCACGGTAGTGACAAGGGACTTTCAAAATGCTAACTTCCTTCTGAAAGTTCCGGGATAGGTTGGCTGTGTAAAAACCAAATTAGGCATACTAGTCCTCTCCCTCTGACATATGAGGCCCTTCTGGCCCACTCCCGCAGACATATCAATCCCTGGCTCACTCCCGCAGACATATCAATCCCTGGCCCAATCCCGCAGACATATCAATCCCTGGCTCACTCCCGCAGACATATCGATCCCCGGTCCAATCCCGCAGACATATCAATCCCTAGCCCACTCCCGCAGACATATCAATCCCTGGTCCAATCCTGCAGACATATCAATCCCTGGCTCACTCCCGCAGACATATCAATCCCTGGCCCACTCCCGCAGACATATCAATCCCTGGCCCACTCCCGCGGACATATCAATCCCTGGCTCACTCCCGCAGACATATCAATCCCTGGCTCACTCCCGCAGACATATGAATTCCTTTTTGCCCACTCCCGCAGATGTATCTGTCCCTTCCAGTCCACCTTCACAGATATATGAGTTCCTTTTGGCCAACTCCCGCAGATATATCAGTCCCTTCCGTCCCACTCCCACAGATGTATCAGTCCCTGGCTCACTCCCGCAGACATATGAATTCCTTTTGGCCCACGCCTGTAGACGTGTCAGGTCCTTTCGACCCACTCCCACAGACCTATCAGTCCCTTCCGTCCCACTCCCGCAGAGGTATCAGTCCCTTCCACAGACGTATCAGTCCCTTCTATCCCACAACAGCAGACGTATCAGTCCTTTCCGTTCCCCTCCCGCAGAGGTATCAGTCCCTTCCATCTCGCTCCAGCAGACGTATCAGTCCCTTCCGTCCTGCTCCCGGAGACGTATCAGTGTCTTCTGGCCTGCTCCCGCAGATGTATCAGTCACTTTCGACTGCCTCCCGCAGCAATCTTTCACAGCAGGTCCAGTGGGAATTCAGACCTCTACCCCAATCGAGTAGCTGTGTGTGTCGCCTTACACCACCGCTCCCCCCTCCCCCCCCCCAATGAAGCCTCAGTGCTGTGGTGCCTCTGATCTAACACTTCCCTCTCTGCTTTTCAGCCATGGTGCCTGCAAACAGCTGAAGGATACAGGTAAGGCTGATTCTTAACTTCAAACGTGCTGATATATCGGCCTGACACTTCTAAAGCATGAACTCAGTGTCTCCTTGCTGACAGTTCAGGTGCAGGAACTTCCCAGTAACAATATTTAATGATGATCTCAGCGGTTTTTGGTCTTGTGGTTAATCTACACTCAGGAAATTTAAAAAATGATGTCTAATCCTGACATTAGACGTCCCTGTTGGGGGCATTGAAGTACATGAAAGGGCCTCATTTATCATGCATATAAGGAAGCGACATCATTTTGGAGAAGTTTTTATTCTTTTTTTTTTTGGAAATCACACGGTCAAACGTTGCCATGACGGTCTTTTATTGTGTCACCCCATTAAACGCGTGTTTGAATCCTCCTCTGGGTAACGCTGATTAGCATTAATGGGTTCAAGGTATGAATCATTATGCTGCCAAAGCCAGGTGTTGAATGGCGCCAATGAGATGAATGGGGAAGCCTTTGGAGGTGCTCCAGGCATGTGGCGGAGAGCAGGGCCAAAGGGGCCTTTGATCAGTACAGCCAGCAGCCGGCTCATGCGCTTTTTTATGTGAATAAACTGCAGCTGTCTGACTCGCACGCTGAAGCACAAGAACGAAACTCGTCTCCACATTTGCTGAAGGAAGAACACCCCACCCCCGCCCCTCCCCACAAACATGTCCTCTTCCTTTAAAAATATATCTTGTATATTTAAGCTTAGCAGTACTAGCCTGACAGTGAACCCCCACACCGGAGTTGGTGTGAGCCCCGCTGGTACCTCGAGCCACACAAAGGGGGCCTGAGGGAAGCTCCGGAGGATGACAGGGATATCGGCTGTAGACAGAATATCACATATTGCGGCTTTATGAGACGCTGTCTGGGCTGTGAGGGGCGGCTCTGTTCTGAGCCAGTGATGCAGCCCTTTCAGGCCCTCGGTACAAAAACAGTCCAGCATTGGATTTAATCTATGCTATTCATTCACTCAATGCTCTGTTCTGTGTCTCTGCCTCTGTGGGTGTCAAATCACCAGATTAGGTTTCTTGTGGATAAAAACGTGAACAAGCTGTTAAAGAGAAATATTTCTGCTCTCTTAGCCGGATAATTATTATTATTTTCTGGAGACATGCTGCCTATATGGTCAGCAAAAGTCGGCACTGACTAACACAGAATACTAATAATAGTGCTAATGCTGTTATTATGGCTGGATGGCATGCATTCATCTGGATTTGTTCTGTTCATGTTGCATCCTTCTTTCTGACTCTGCTCTCTTCCGTGTGGCGCTGCCCTCACTTCAGGTTGTCAAGCTCTCCGTGGGACACATCATTCAGTGGTTCAGCCGGTAGACGACATGGGAGCCTGTAAATGGACACATCACTCACCGTGGTGCTCTTGAGCCGCGCTTGTGGAGCGGTGTCTCTGAATTTGCTTACTGTAAAAAGGAAAAAAAGAAACAGGGAAAGTTTAAGGGGGCAAAAGGTTGTGTCTTTGTACTCTCTGACCACCTGGGGGAGCCCTTGAGAAGCCTTGCAGGCAGTGACGATGGCCTCGTCAGCCCTTTGGCACCCAGACCTAATGTATTCTTTGTGTTTGATTAGTCATTCATGCCCCTGGAACTGCCTTCATCACCAGGGATTTTGTGGTAGGAGGGGAGTCACTATGTGTACGTAAGGAAGTCCTATAACTCAAGGTGGGTGTCTCAGTTGGACAGATAGTATATAAATAACATTATTTCTGGTGATATAAAGTTTTATGCATCTCTTTATGTATATCTACTTTAAATAAATTTGCTATGCACGCCTCAGGTGTCTTAATGTAGTTAACAACAATAAACAATAAATGCCGTCGGATCAGATCATGACCTTCTGTTGTATGCTTGACCTTGAGCTAGCAGGAAAATATGACAGTGGGCTGGCTTGCAGGAGCACGCAGGCGTCCTCCTTTGTATTTGGTGAAGGGTGACGCGAGACACGCTTTGCAGAGAGCAGCAGCCGCGGGGCTGAGCTCGCTGGGCTCGCTTCCCACGCTGAAGGCCGCGCTCCTCAGAGGACTATCTCCTCGGAGATCCCAAGCGGCGCCTATCGCCTGCTCCCGGTGCTCGGCAAGTCCCCAGGCTGTCGACCACGTGACCCGTCCGGCGCAAACTCCGCTGCCTCCACTCAGCGCTGCTCGGAGCTCGCAAATCTACCCAGTCAGCCTCAACTAATGTCCCACGTTCCAGCAGGTCAGACCCCCTTGCCAGCGCCTTGCCAATAGCTTCTCTTGCTAGCCTCATCATGTCTTCTTAGCTTTGCCTGTTATGCATTTGAAAAACGATCTTGTGCTCCAGGCGGTGAATATTGACAGAGGCGCATAAATAACAGAGAGCAGGCTTGCGATTAATTACGGACGGACGGCCGCGTGTTGACAGAGCCATATATGCGACGCAAAGGGTCAGAGGGCTGAGATTTACGAATGATGCCTCTGTTTTGGTTTTCTGGATGAGGGATAACGCTCCATGCGGCAGACAGGATGGAATGATAAAGCATGGAGTTAAGTATGGGACTGGTATTCCAACATATTAAACGGTAGATAAACTGAGGGGAAATACGGTTTCGTGTTGTTTCTGTTACTTGGTATCAGCACCGCTTGGTATCAGCACCGCTTGTTAGCGTTCAATCAAGACTGAACATGTTATAATCAGAAAGGTTTTATTACACAGACACATTTAATTTTATACAAACTGAAACCTTCCCCTGCCTCGTTCATATACATTTGCATTCAGTTGCTTCAGAGAAATTTTCCTCCAAAGAGGCTTGGAATTCAGTGTGAATAATACTTTCATTAAGCGGCAACTGAAGACTCAGAACAAGAAGACCACCACCGATGGACCAGTGATGATGTGGAATGCTCTGGAAGGTCAGTTTGAAGGCGGCGCTTTGCTGTCCAGGCTGACTGAACCTTGAAGAGGTGAAAGAGAAGCTGAATGCAAACCCTACAGGGTTGCAGTAGAAAGGATTTTGAGCTGCAGAGAGAGAACTCAGCCAAGTCACCTTCCTGAGAGACACGAGTAAGAGCTGGTTAGTTCTGGTCCTTCGATTTTGAACATAGTTACAGACAGGAGGAGGATATGATGGTTTGCTGAAAGCTATAGGCATCTCTAGTAGGATGAGATCAGAAGAGAGAGAGTCTGTCGTAGAGAGCCTCCTAAATACAATACAGACATGTTCCAGTTTGTGGTTTCACAGTAAATGATATTTATTTCAAGTCTTGCTGTTGTTGCTAGAGGTTATTTTAAGCACTGTGGGGCATATATGCTGGAAAAGGATTTATATGAAAATCAAGTGTAATTTTTGCCAGTCGGAGCTGAAGTGCTCTCTGATGGATTTTACCAAGCGGTTCACTGGCTGCAGGTAGGATAGCCCCATGGCTGAATTGGCCAATCAGCATCAGCGAGTCCCCATAAACAATCTGCAGCTTCCTTTCTTTCTAATCTAGCCTAGAAAGACAACTAGGCAGAAAACCCTGAGAGCAGGGAGAAAGAAAATAGTGTTGAGGTGCACCGTGGAGGTGAACATCACTGGGCCTTAATGTTCAGTAGCGCTATCGGTCAGTGAGCTTAAGGGGCTTGGGCCGTAGTCTGAACGAGGGGCCCTACTGTATGCTGGACTGGAGAATCAAGATTAATGCACTTTCACATCTCTCTGCAGCTCTGTGGGGAATAACTACAATAATTATCACCGCTGGACCTTGAAGGACAAGGTGGCGGGAATCATACAAAATGGACAAGTGCAATTACACGGTGGTACATGGAGCCTGAATGGAGGAATCGGGACGTAGAATCGGGTGGGGTAACTGTACGCCCGTGTCTGAACATGGTCGATGGAGCCTAAATAGAGGCTGTACACCTGCGCCTGAGCATGGTTGATGGGGCCGGATGGGGGAACTGAGACGTAGAATCGGGTGGGATAGCTGTACACCTACGCCTGAACATGGTCGATGGAGCCTGATGGAGGAATCGGCTGAGGTAGCAGAGCATGGTCGACATCCCCTCTCTTTGGAGTGTTCCTGAGGACACGGAGAACATGTAGTAGGAAAGTATATAAAATTGTTACGGTTTGTGGCTCTTTATGTGCAGGTTCACTTGTTTTGGATCAATCTTTCATTTGTCAGTCTGAACTGAAATCTTCAGAACATAAACAGATACATGATGATTCTCTTGCAATATAATGGTCAGGCCTGTAGTATTCTGTCTGTTTTTGTGTCCTTCTGATACAATATTAAATGTCAGCGTGGAAAATCTGGGAGACACTGGAAGAGAGGAAACTAAATCTCAAGAAAATGTGAGGGTCTGCAGTCCAAACTGACTGCCACCCCCCACCCCAGGTATGAAATAGGTGTGCTTGTATTATTACAACCAAAGTTAGGATCACTCCTGTGGTCATTCGGCTATAGTGTATCTATTATTAAAAGCGTATATTAGATAACCCGCTTTGATGAACAGGAAGGTGGTAGACCTCTCCGCATTTGCACAGAACTGCACAGGTTTTTAAATGGAGGTTTTCCTTGGGGGGCAGTGAAATGTGACGGTTCGGTCCATGCAGATGAGGGAGCAGAGGATGCATGGCGGACTTCCTCATTACCCAAAGCACACTGCACTCCAGCTGCTTTCTAAGCACCCCTGTGTCCCTGTGCCTGTAAATTAGCATGCGCCCCTTGTGGTACAGATCCTGCCACATGTCAGCGTTTATCCCAGATTCGTGCTTAGTCTCATGTTGATGCCAGGTCCTAATTTGCTGGGTGGGCAGCCATATATCTGTAGAGTGCCCCCTTCAGGGTGCAGTGGAGAGTACAGACTAAAAAAGGTTGGCTAAGTAGGGCAATTTTTGTTGTATCCACAATCTATGGGTACAACACAATTAATCTATTAAATCTTCCTGTAGAAATTCCTGCGAAGTGGCTTTGCGTTGTACTGTATCCAGCGACCTACAGAGGATGTACCTCACTTTACTCACCCATTCTAATATGTTCAAGCACTGTAAGACTAATTAGAGGCGCTGCGACTCTCTGAGAGTTACGCATTGAGGGGACGTTGCTCTGATCTGGATCACTTGTGTCCTGTGTTTCCCACACTGTCCCAAAGTGTCCCGCTGAGGCCAGCAGTGCTTTGAGTGCTGGAGCTTTTCTGAGGGTCAGCCTGCTTCCGCTCGAGGACAGAGTAGCAGAGGATTACTCCGAAACTGCAAGGCTTTCCTGCTGGGGGGGGGGGGAGGCTTATGAAGGTGACCGTGACCAGTTTTCAAGTCAGGTGCTATCACTTCCTTCCTGGTCCATTCACTGGCATTATAGCCGCTTTCGCCAGTGCCCGCTTGTGCAGGGCTTGAATTCATGCTAGTGAAGGCTGACTGTAAGCTGGAGTTAAGGTGCTGTGAGTGTGATTATTTATCGATTGCTCCGTGTCAAAAGTAATGAAAGCAAATCTCCTTTAAAAGGGAGTTTTTTTTTAAGGCCTGTTATTTTGTTCTCTATGCCATGTGTTGGAGTGGCAACTCGCACAGGATGCCTCTGCTCTATCTGGGACAGCAGCGTCTCCTGGGCAGGTGGTTATGGGATGGGATACCTGTGCAGATCCTCTGCCTGCTTTTCCTCACGCTCTTCTCCTTGTTTGTTTCAGATTCGGTGGAAGAGGGTCTTCTGCACTCAGTGATGAAAAGAGGTTCTCTACTCACTGCCCCCGTTGCAAAACGCTGAAGTTGTAGAGGATCTGATGGACAGCCTGCTTTTGTGCCTTTTCAAACTCTCTGTTCAGCGAAACGCAGCTTTCACTGGGCAGCCTTTGTATGTTTCGCTTTTTTTAGATCAGTCTGTCACTTTGAACAGGCAAACTGTTTCACCCAAAAGGAGCGGGCCTGGCAATATGGCTTAATTCTGCTGGTCCCCCTCCTCCCAGTCCTCCTCCTCCGCCTTCCACGGTAGGCTGAATACAAGCCCCTCATCTTAAAAGCACATCATTTTTGTCATTGTTGGGAGGTAGGGGACGAGCTGTGCCGCTGGGTGGCATTTTGGGATCGTGAGAAGTTTTAGGATGGCGAGGTGCTGACATCATACCTCTGATCAAAGCACAGTCTTATCTGCTTCTGAAAATATGCAGCTGATTTAACTGATAATGCGTGTAAACAATAAATAAATAAATAACCTGAGTAAGCTTCACGGGTCACTGTGGATAAGGACACCTTCGGTAATTCATCTTGTAAACGACTCTGAGATCTATGTCCTAGGAAATGAAGAAGCTCTGTGTCACTTATTAGTGTGTGTATCTGAAGATGGGACTTTCACCCCAGGGAAGCAAGCTCTTGCCAGTTAACCACTTCTTATGAAGTTGCCCCACACCGGTCCGTCTGCCTATGCACTCCTGTCTCCGTTCACTTAAAGAGTTAAAGGCAAAGCTTTTTGGTGTTTCGGTGTTCGATCAGGGTGTCATGCGCTCTGTCAGGGTTTAAAGTGCTACGATAAAGTAGAGTATCTTCTGTCTACTCATACCGTAATGCAGAAAGTATGGAAATTCCTTGAGAAAAATGTCAGGAAACCATCCATGAACATATGCGGCTCATTCACATTAGAGCCATTAAACCTGCATTAAATATCTAGCATGACCTCTTCCTACTGTAGCCTGTCAGGTTGGTGTCCATTTTTATTCTCAACTCGCCTTTCACTCTAATGACTAGAACCAATGGAAATTTATCATTTTGATCTGAATTCTTGTGTTTCACTGATGATTATGAGATGTTTGACCTAACTCAGCAGTATTTAGTAATGTAGTTAAATCTCCTTTACCCTCACAGTGCCATCAGAACACGTGTATTAAATAGCTGTCAGTAAGTTGGATCAGTCACAAACAATGGGGTTGGATTCACAAACTGATCTGGGTTCAGTCCCAATCTCAACTCAGGGCCCCATGTTTCATATGTGGGGGAGAGTAATGGTCACCGGGGGGCACTGGAGCGTCTCATGCTCCAAGCCAGACGTTAGCATCCCCATGTTAGCTCTCGGCAGGTTGCTCTGAAATTAATTGCTTAATTAATTTAATCAAGCTACAGAGAGATAAGATGGAGGTTATAACCCATCACTGTTGACAGTGCAGCAGAAGCTGTTGCCTGAGAAAGCACCTTGAAAATTGAAAAATCAATGTACCAAGACAGGAGGACCAAACAGCGAAGCCTCTTTAATTGGGGGGGCCGTCAGGGTGAGCGCTGCCTTTTCAGATCTTATTCCTTTCCACTCTGCTCGTCCCCCCAGTCGCTGCAGTGGAAGCCTTGGAGCAGAATCCAGTACTCCACTGCACACGCTGTGTCTCTTGGTACCTAAATCATACCACACTCATTTATCCCAAGGCTTATGTTTCTGAGGAGCAAAAAGGTAGTGCATGACTTGGTCAGTGTACATGAGATAACATTCAGGGTAGCTTACTGTGAGGGTACTGTAATAGATTAACAGTGTGTTACAGATTTACTCAGCATGTTACAGAAGTAAACTGTGTTACAGATTGAAATAACGTGTTACAGATGTAATCGGTGTTATACATTTAATATGTGTGTTACAGATGCAATCAGTATGGTACAGACTTCAGTGCATTATAGATTAAATAAGTTTCTTATAGATTTAATCAGTGCATTACAGATGCAGTGTGTTACACCATTAATCAGCGTGTTACAGATGTAATCAGTGCTTTAAAGATGCAATACGTGTGTCACAGATAAACAATGTGTTGCAGATTTAATCAGTGTGTTACAGGTTTAGTCAGCATGTTACCGGTTTAACCAGCTTGTTATAGATATAATCAGGGTGTAAGATTTAATCAGTGTCTTAAAGATTTAGTTGACATATTACAGATTTAATCAGCATGTTACAGAAGTAATAAGTGCATTACAGATGTAATCAGTGCGTTACAGATTATATCAGTACATGACAGATGCAATCAGTGCTTTACAGATACAATAAATGTGTCTCAGGTGTAAACAGTGTGTTACAGAATTAGTGCATTACAGATACAATAAGTGTCACTGATGTAAACAATGTGTTGCAGATGTAATCAGTGCATTACAGATGTATACAGTGAGTTGTAGAAGTAATCAGTGTGTTACAGATGCAATCAGTGTGTTACAGATGCAATCAGTGTGTTACAGATTTAGTCATCATGTTACAGATTTTATCAGCGTGTGACTGATGCAATCAGCACTTTACATATGCAATATGTGTGTCACAATGTAAACAATGTGTTACAGATCTAATCAGTGCATTACAGATGTAAACTGTTACAGATTTAATCAGCGTGTTACAGATGTAAACTGTGTTACAGATTTAATCAGTGAGTTGCAGAAACACTGCATACAGCTGGTCTTTTACACTGGTTTGATGTTTTGTCCTTGATGTCACAGCTCAGATGAGCTGCATGTTCGGTACACAGTGTCCGGTGCTGTAATAGCATTTTGTTGTTGTCTGGGTGGCATCATCCTGCTGTCCCACTCAGCGGATGTGGCCTAGCCGGCCACTTCTTGTGGCTGGCTGTGTTTTCGTCCCCTACGCTAACCCCTTTCCCCTCGATCCCTTAGACGTGGTGCTTCTCACGGCAGATGGAGCAAAAGTTTATTCATGTATCAGCATGAATTATGAAACACTGTTAATGGCTACATTACAATTACCCAGGCCACTAATTTATAATTATACACATTTAACCTTTGGGTTCTTATTTGTGCCACTGTACTATAAATTTTAAGGGATTAATGGACTTACGGGAGGCACAGGGGCTCGGGGCTCAGCACACGTCCTGTCATAGGGGTGTGAATCTCGCTTCACCTGTGTTTGCCTGTGTGGAGTTTGCGTGTTCTCCCTGTGTCATGTGGGCTTCCTCCTACAGTCCAGTGCCAGGTAGTTAGCCTGGGGCTAACACCCTGCGCAAATAGGTAGTATAAGTAGAATATGTATTTAGAAGTTTTCTCACCACAGTGTAGGTACAGACTTCAAGAGTGGCCGAGGCCAACAAAACAAACAAAACAATCTATCACTCTACCTACCGAAGAGAAATGAAACAAGACAATCACTCCCATTATCTCCTAACCAAATATACAAAGAACTTGAAACAAAGGAAACGGCAGTCAGTCTTTACACTATAAACTCAGAACGTCATCACCAAGGGCTAGGCAGGAACACAGGAAAAATGGTCGGTACACAGGAAAGGCAAATACAGAGACGAGCGACCAAAATCAGAGGCAAAGCAAAAAGTGATAAACTACAAAACAGAATAGAGTCGTACACAAGTAATAAGATGAGAATAAAGCAGAAGCAGAAGAGCAAACACCAGGAGCTGGAGGCTTTGGCGTCATCGGTCCTTTTCTGCATGGAACCTGGAGGCAACGACATCCGATAGGCGGCAGGGGGTTTGGGGTAGCTCTGGCCAGAGAAAGCGAACCTTGGTCATGGGTGGCGTCTTTGGCGTATCACATAGGGTCTCACAGCAAACGGTACAGAAATTCGTATGTGTATCTCGTAACACAAGAGTCTTACAGCGCATAACAGTGTGTGTATCTGTCTGTGTCTGTACTTTTTTCATGCTCTCCCTCTGTCTGTGTCTGTGCTGTTTACATGCTCTCCCCCTGTCTGTGTCTGTGCTGTTCACATGCTCTCCCCCTGTCTGTGTCTGTGCTGTTTACATGCTCTCCCTCTGTCTGTGACTGTGCTGTTCACATGCTCTCCCCCTGTCTGTGTCTGTGCTGTTTACATGCTCTCCCTCTGTCTGTGTCAGTGCTGTTTACATGCTCTCCCCCTGTCTGTGTCTGTG